TATACTATAAGACAATTAAACGTTACGGTACTTAAATTATAAATAGTCAAAGGCAAGACAACGTCTGCCGGGTTCAGCTAGTCATAGAAAGGATTTAGGCTTAGCCAGTCATACAGTCTAAGTTTGAATAACTTAAATTCTAAAGATTTGCTTTCAGTGTGCAACCTATTAAATATCTTTAGACCAATAATCGCAAAACTGTTTTTACACTTACTTAGCCTACTGTATGGTATATCTAACATGAACTGGTTTCTGGTGTTACATTGGTGAATGTCTGATCTGTGTACATATAAGCCTACATTTAAATTCTTTTTACATACAACAAACACAAAAATATATACAGGTTTATCACAGTCAGGATCTTACTTCTAATAAATAAAGGTTTGCAGTGTGCTCTGAATCAGCCTTGTTCATTACCCTTAATGCTATTTTTTGTAACAGCAAGACTTTATGTACTGTACATGGCAGCTATTTGTATTTCCCCAATATAAAATTGGCTTCAGCTGTTTCATAAGGATGAGAAATCTACTAAGGGAGTACCTGTATGTTTTATCCAGCCAATGAATGACCACATCAGTTATTGATTGTATTTTGATTGATTATTTTCTAAGTTTTGGAAACCAATTGATGATGGTGGGTGGGAAGTCTTAGCAATAAAATTGGCTTCAACTGTTTCATAAGGATGAGAAATCTACTAAGGGAGTACCTGTATGTTTTATCCAACCAATGAATGACCACATCAGTTATTGATTGTATTTTTGGATCGATTATTTTCTAAGTTTTGGAAACCAATTGATGATGGTGGGTGGGAAGTCTTAGCAATAAAATTGGCTTCAGCTGTTTCATAAGGATGAGAAATCTACTAAGGGAGTACCTTTTTGTTTTATCCAACAATGAATGACCACATCAGTTATTGATTGTATTTTTGCATCGATTATTTTCCAAGTTTTGGAAACCATTGATGATGGTGGGTGGGAAGTCTTAGCAATAAAATTGGCTTCAGCTGTTCCATAAGGATGAGAAATCTACTTATGGAGTATGTTTTATCTAACACATGAAAGACTGCATCAGTTATTGATTGTATTTGGATCGATTATTTTCTAAGTTTTGGAAACCAATTGTTGATGGTTTGCAGTATTTTGTTGGGGCATTAAAACATTAGAAGCCTTTTGGGTGGAAAGTCTTAGCAATATCATAATCTTAAATAACTTCTTTATCAGCATCGTAAAGTTTTATTAAATTAACCGTTTTTAAAATGAATTAGTTTTAGAATTAAAATTACCTATAAATAATGCTAGTAGATTTCTCACAGTAGATTATTTTATGTTTTATGTTTATTTGCTACCACCAACGTTCCAAACGAACCAATTTACAATTTTTATGTTAATCAAGACTATAGCTAAATGTCAAGCCAAACCACAAACATGCAACAAAACTTTGTCTTTAATTAATAGGAATAAATTGACAACAAACTGAAATCAGTGCGAATATAAGACACATTGTTTGGATAGATAATACAATAGATAGATATTATAATATTACCTATATTAAATGTTGCACTTCAACTAGTTCAGCACAAGGTTGAACATGATAAGTTATTTGCTCAATTATTGCAAGCACAAGTGTTAAACCGATTAGTCAGACTTATGTAAGCTTATTATTATTTAATTTTAACCATATTAAATTGAAATTTACATGACCGACGACAATGAAGTTGCTAAGGCATACACTTTTGGAATAGTACCTAGGGGTTTTGTCGAAAGAGTTAAATCTTTTCACTATGAAACCAATACAGTATGTATATTTTTTAAATTTATCCATGACTGATTCTTTTTAGGCTAGCCCAATGTTATTTGAACCCAATGACAAGACCTGTATTATATAATAATCTATTTACCTGTCTCGTGTAGGTTGTAATAAATGCGATTGCCCAGCGTCGGGGGACATGTTCGTATCGTTCGGCCACAGAAAACAGAAAACCTCTAGTATGTGGGTAATAGTGGTATGATTTCTGTGGCTTGGCACTGTTGATGTTAATATAATTGTGATCAACTTGTTACCTACCATGCATATTGAGTGGTACTGTAGTTCAATAACCTACTAGCCCTTCAGGCAGAACAGGTAATTTTTATCTCTTTTTATCTGTATAGCCCAGTTTAAGTATGTCGAGTAATTAGTTTAGCAGCTAACTAGAAAGCTAGTCTAGTATAGTCTGTTTTTAGTTTTTAGTAAAATATTAAAAACTTAAGTGTTAAATCTATGAGTTTGAAAAACTTTATCAAAAATACTCGTATATCCATATTAGCATGTGAATTACAAGAGTTTGTTAAATCTCCTCATTGCAATCATGAAGTTAGTTTTTAAATTCATTTATTTGGCCAGATTTATATTAACGCATTGGCTAGCTCAGAATACTGAATACATAAAGAATACAGTATGTCTTATGAACTATTGATGTTTACATTAAGCAATATATATAGTGTTGCTGTGTCACTCAGGCTGGGCGCACACTGATCAAGCATTTCACCTGAAGCAAAATCTTGCACAACGATTTCGATTTGCTTGAAGCATTTTGTTTATTTGCTTCTCCATTGTGCGGAAGGGGAGGTTCAAGCATGATTCAGCATTTGGTTTCAAGCAAAATTAAGAGGAATAAATATTTTGTTACTGGTCATACAGTATTATTTTAACATAAATGTGACGAGGAAGTCAACGTAGCTATTGGTGTTAATCAGTTTTTGCAAATTGCTTGACTAAATAGTAAAATAGAAAGACAACATTGGGTTCACCCAATCAATCTGTTGATAGACAGTAAGGCTTTCCTCTCAGAAATTAAATCAGATCCTGAGAAATTTTACAATTATTGTCAAATAATTGCGATACTATTTTACAGGAAGGGTTTTAAATAACATAAGAAATTATTATTAGATAATGTCGTGATGGTTATAGGTAATGATTAATGAACTGAGAAACCTTGGTAATTTCTTAATTATTTTACTACTTTGCATGGGCTGTATGACTACCAAAGTGGTAGCAAGAAAAATTGAACAACAATATTGTTCAATGGAAATTCAAAATACTTAAGTTTTAACGAAACTTAAAAATTCATTTTTCAAAGAAGACTTATTTTTTAAACAACAAACGGTCAATTGAATTTTGGAAGCCACTAAGCTTTACTAGATAGAAAGGATTTGGTGCGTTTTGCTCCTTGAAACATCAATTATTGTACTGGGTATGGCCGGCCGTACACAGATACAGCATTTCACCTGAAGCAAGTGTTGCGAGGCAAAATGATTCGCTGGGTACAAGCACCCCATGTATTTCAATGGGAGGCTGCTCACTGATCTAGCAAACGTTGCGAGGCGCAGGCGTCAAACATTTGAGCAGTTGCTTGACAAATGGATCGGATACAGCACGATGTTTGATGTTTCAAGGAGCAAAACGATCTGCGCATGAGCCAAATCCCTTTTAACCAGAAAATCTTCAGAATTCAATTGCCTTTTGTTGTTTAAAAATAACTCTACTTTGAAAAATTAATTTTGAAGTTTCATTAAAACTTTTGATTGGGTGAACCCAATGTTTGCTTTCTTTTCAGTCCAGTATTTTGCAAAAACTTACATACAGCAATAGTTAAGTTGACTTCCTCCTCACATATGTTAAAACAATACTGTACTAGAGGACCAGTAAACATAATTTATTCTAATATTTATTTTTTTTATTTTTCTTGAAACTAAATGCTGAATCATGCTTGAACCTCCGCACACTGGAGAAGCAAAGAAACAAAACGCTTCAAGCAAATCGTTTCGCAACATTTTGCTTCAGGTGAAATGCTGCATCAGTGGGCGGCCGGCCTCAGTAATCAGTAGGTATCAGTCATGGCACTGCTTTCGGGTTTGCCCAGGGCTCCACTGACCCTAAACGCGGCCCTGGCTCAGGTAGGAAGATGACTACAAACATATGTAAGTGTTGACATACAGGTTATAGGTATGAGCGATTATGTTTATACAGTTTGTATATAAAAGATTAATTTAAATATCCATTTTTTGGAACTCCGCATCACTAACACAAATACAGTAGCACTCTGTTACAATGAGTTTTTACTATATGTATCTAATCTACATATTTTACTATTTTATGTACTAGCATGTTAACACTAGAGATGCTCAGAGGTATATATGTAAATGCATATACTTGATGTAATTTAACTTAGCATGTGGATTATTTCAATTAATTTTTAAATACAGTAGAACCTCTTTAATCCGAACCCCTGTAATCCGAACGTCCACTAATCCGAACGCCTCATTGCTGTACTATATACACAGTACAGTAGTTCTTTATTGTATACTGTATTCATTTTGGTATACGCACCGTAATTATTTCAATTGTAATATACAGTACTGTTTATTCCCTATGTTTACTACTGTATTAAATAAACACTATATTTTACTTTATAAAGCATTTTTAATTTTCCCCTAGCTATTGCTATGTAAAAACAACAATATGTTCTGTAATCCGAACTATTCAATAGTCCGAACTACCCCCGGTCCCAATTAGTTCGGATTAAAGAGGTTCTACTGTAGCTTTGATGTAATTTACCATGAGATTATAATTATTTTACCTTATTGTGACACTATTTATGTATGTATATACAAGATAAATAAAGACATTTGACTATGACTATGACTTTATCAATTACCAACCCAATATAGCTTAAAACAAATCCAACCAAAAGTATACATGACTTATGGTTTGAGGGTTGGATGGAATGACCCGATTCAACAAATAAATATTTGACCTAGATATTAGTAATCTATGAATATGTAACAAATAAATATTTGACCTAGATATTAGTAATCTATGAATATGTAATAATGTATGCATGTTAACTATTTCTTTGTAAAACACGATATATACAATATTGTAGGTAGTATATTTTTAGGTTGTAAGTAAATATTTTTGTAAGTACACCATAATTGAAATTTAATGTCCAAACACAAACACACATTTTCAAATAACAATTCATTTATCAGATCACCCATAGCAGGAGGAATTCACAAGCAATTGGCCCCTAATGCAGGGGAAGGAATTGACGGATTTAGAAACAATGGTGGTAGATAATAAGGTAAACCAGGTCGGAATCTTGGACGAAGAGCAGTCGGCCTCCATAGGTGGACTCCTGAGGATCGGCAATGGTTGTGTCCATATAGCCTTGTTGAGGTTTTCGTATTACTCATGTTAGAATCGGCTGGATCAGGCATGGCTAAGTTAGGAGTGATCCTCGGTCCAGAATATGAGCTGGTCTGGTGACCTGGTGTGGTTAATGCTTCACTTGAAAACGGTGACATCGTGGGAATTTGAGAAGAAAGCTGGAACATTGGGTTGTTTTCAGGGATCAAAATGTTAGGAAGTCTTGGCTTTCTGTTTGTTGCCAATGATTCTAAATCAGATTGAGAATAAGTTTGTTGGTCTCTACGGGTGTTGTGTTTGGGCTTAGAATGTATTCTTAGACAACCTTGAGTGTTGGTTTCTTCTAGCGATTTTGTTTGATGTGTTTGTGTTTTTGTAGACTGAGAAGTAAAATTAGGCATTGGACCCACTGTCACTCTTACAGATGGAAATTCCGGGTGTGTTAGGTTCCTGGAAAAACCAGAAGTACTGGGTTGTTGTAAATCACTCAGCTGTGAAAAAACTGGATAGTTATCTTGAGGAAGGAAGTCCATTTCAGGAGTTTTGATATACTCGACAAATGAGTCTATGAGTTGAGATACCAAAATGAAATCTGTTTCGAAAACAGGATCTGGTTTACAAACAGCAGAGAACACAGTTATGTCTTCATACATATTAGCTTTCAACATTGATACAATCAGTTTTCTTGCCATGTGTAAATAACTGGTATGGACATTATAGACTGATTTCAGTTTCCTAAAGAGATTTACAAACAAAGCCAAGTACATAAAGGTGTGAAATTCTTTTGTTGTTGGAAAGCATTGCACTACGTTTTTAAACAGATGGGTAAAATACATCCCGTAAAATATGGTATTTGCTTGAAAGTCCCTGTGTGCCAACACTTCTTCTCGTACTACTAGTTCTGCTGAATTCATTCTTTTCGCTTTTCTACATCGATTGAAGTACCTGACCGACTCGCTGACGACAAGAAATAAAATTTCAGTAAGTTGTCCGATTGTGTTCTGGGAATGAGGTGTTAGAAGTTCCCTGTAGAGCACGTAAATTACTTTATTAAACTCTCCAAGGGGATTTTGAGTGAAAATATCTGAATGTGATGCAAAATTTGACTCAGTTTCCAAATTTGTAAAGGAAATATTTGCATTATTTGCGCTTGGTTTGACATGACAGGATTCTGTTCTACTGTGGCTCCTCCTACTTGTCCTTGGATACATCGGTATTGAGTACCTCTCAGCGAGATTCCCTAGTTCCAAATGTCTTTGCAATACGCTATACTTATTCTGTGTAGTACTTTTCTGTTGTTTGTTTCCAGACATTTCTAAATTCATTTTGGTGGAATCATTTAATCCCATATCTGAAGAACTCACTTGCTGTTCAGAGGACTTGAGTCTGATGTTTTCAGGAGATTTAGATTTAGAAAATTCTTTTTCAGCCTCTGTGTAATTGTCAACATCAATAATATCAATTTCCCTATTTGCTTTACTGTCAGTTGGATAGTACTTTAATTCAAGAGATTGTGTGTTTTCAATACATTTTGCACTGGATGACCTTTGATCTTGATCATTACATATAGGCCTATAGCTCTCGTCCTTCTTGTCCAGCTTTTTAAGTTTAATTTTTCTGACTAAATGGCCTTCTGTCAAACTTTGATTTTGAAGAGAACTTCCTCTCTGGTTTGCTTTGTCATCTTGACCCTCAGAAGTATAGTTATCCCTTAATTTTGTGTATTGAATTCTTTCTTTTACCATCTTTGACTCTTCATTACGCATTGATGATTTTGCTGTAAAAGGGTAATTGTTTCTAGAAAATGAAAGTTTGTTTTGTTCCGATGTCCGATCGCCATTTGGTGTAGATGATATGTTAACTTCCTTGGTGTCAACGTTAACATGAGCATTGTTTTCTTGTTGCCTTGTTGTTTCTGGGATTGTCTCTTTTCCTGTCTCCTGAGTATTTGTATTGTAAGTGTCAATACCCTCATCTATCACTAGTATACTCTCATCAGATGTGTATCCATCAGGGTCAATCCATTCATCTTCAATGCTGCTGATTTTCAAATTCAGCACTGGTGATTCATTATCCTCAAATGTGCATTTTAAATTATAATCAGTTTCTATTTTGTCTTCACCGATTGCGATTGCCGGGTAGAATTCTGTGCCTCCACACTCCTCAAGTTGCATCCTACCTTCAAAATAATCTACTCCTGGATTTGATTTTGTGTCATTTGAAGAATGACTGTCTGAGTTATCGTCTTTAGGAGGAGTTACCATTTTCCTAATATCTACATCATTATCTGAAATGCTTTTGATATTTGTGTCCTCTTCACTATCTTTCACATTTAGATAAGGTTTAGAGATGCAGCCCTGATTTGGAGATACTCCAATAGAATCTACATCACAAGGATCAACTAATTCAGATCTAGATGGAAAGTTAACTGGACTTGAAGTAGAATAAGAACACTGCTTTTCTAATGGTTGTGGATTTTTCTTACTCTTTTTATTAAATCCGTATGATCTACAAATATCATCCAATAGGGAAACATTTCGTTCCCTTTCTAAAAAGTCTAGCATATCTACCATTTTCTTTGTTTTTCTTTTGGCATCTAACGGTTGAAAACCTAATGATCTAATTTTTTTATCTTTCTCTTTTCTTTGTTTCTTCTTTTCAGGCATTTGTGGAGTTCCTGAGTGAGCAGATGACTCACCTAGAGGCTGGGATTGATCTGAAGCTTGACCTTTGTCAGAATCACATATTCCGTATGCATTTTCTTCACTAATTGTAAATGACTCGACTGTGGACAATTTTATGGATTTTCCATTATTTTCTTTATCTGTTGTATTTACTTCTTGGGTGTCAGTTTGAAGATCTTCTTTCATGTTACTCAAATGTTGTGATCTCCTAAAACGAAAAGTGAATATAAGGAAAAAGTAGATTGAGCTGGTGATAAAATCCAATTAGACACATTCCCAGAATGTTGGTGCAAAGCAAATAAATACCAACTGGCAGATCTGTGGCGTTTACATTAATTGTTACCTGGTTTTACTTTCTATCTAATGAACCAACTCGTCTACTTCATTGAGACTGGAATGTACTTAACTAAATTTCATTTTTAGTGTTTTTGAATAATATCCCCATACAAACCACAACTATGTCAGTCTCAAAAAATGAGTCTTCTATTTTTTAAATAACTTCTTGATCAGCATTGTACGTGTTATTAAATTTACGGAAAGTAAATAAAAGAAACGTCTAATAACACTTAAAACATATATTTACGCTTATACTGTTACTCACAAGACGGTAAATCCAACCATCTGTTTTGTATATTTACCGTCTTGTGAGTAACAGTATAAGCGTAAATATATGTTTTAAGTGTTAAGACGGGTTTCTTTTATTTACTTTCCGCTATTTTTTAACTCACAAAACACCATATCACGCATCCTATGATTTGGTTCAAATTTATGAGTTACTATAGCAAATTAGGTAATGTAATAGTAATAATACCAAGGCTGCAGCAAACCTGCAGACCAAGCAAATTTTCATTTGCCTGATTTGATTTTCAATTAAATCAAGCAAATTTTCATTTGCCTGATTTGATTTTCAATTAAATATATTTCAATAACATTAGGTTTAACGAATACATAGGTTTGCTGCTACAGGGAGTGCAATTAAGTGTGTTTTTAGTAAAATATTAATAGAAGAATAAATTTGCCAAGTTTGAAAAAAAATCATAAACAAGCAATCTACAACAGTTTACTTAATCCTGTCCGATTATTTCCCTTAAACATTTCATTTCTTATAAGGTTCGTATTCATTGCTTAAAAGATGTTAACAGCAAGTTAATAAATAATTTATTTATGTGGCTATGATGCACAATTGCTACAATAAATATTTTCAACAAAACAAATCATATACAGTATATTAAAAAATAGGGGTTACTTACCGCAGTAGGGTTACTTTGTCAGTGAGTCACTCCAAAAATACAGCTTAGCACTTCTCCATAGCATAGCACTCTAAAGAGTGTGAAATTTACTCTGAACATCTGTTTGACAGGCATATGTGTGCAATAATTAATTATCTCTATCATAATATGTGGCGGATGACGCAAATGTGATTCTCTGGCTAGAGTTGTTCAACTCTTAAAAATCATTAATAATCCAAAGGGTGGATATGGTTCAGTGGAATTAAAATATTAATATTATTCACCACAATAATTTATAAACCCAAGTAATACTGATAAATTTTCTTGATTGAAATTACATAAAGGATATTCATTCTTACGAATAACCATTTATTTTAAATTTGACCACTAGTCTGCACAAATATTACAATCGACTCAAACTTGAAGTCATAAGTGTATAGCCATGAAAAATGAACTCTTACTTCCTCATATCCTTCTGGTGGTTTGATTAGTTTAGGATAAAAAAAAAACTTTTCCTGTAGCATAAGATTTTCTTAGAAGATTGACTGATCTGCATATTGTAAGTTGTAATAAAAGACTTTGATGGGCTGGTGCCTAGGATTTAGAAAGAGAATTTTTTCTCTTTTATTTGTAGTCTTAGCTAAATTGACACATGTACCTAATACCTCTTGTCATATCTCAATGTTTGTTGTGTGCCTGGCCATGAATAACATGATTAATGTATATAAGTTTATAGTACAATCTTATCACTGTGTCTAATTTTGTCTGTCTTCATTTACTTTGTATTTATTTTGGAGCACATATTTACTTCATTTGTTGCATGTCTACTTCTATGAACATGTTGTGCCTTTAGGTCAAACAGAAATTTTGTTGTCTATGACATCATGCTGCTCGTCACTTACTATTTTTATAATGAAATGGTACTTAAAAATTAACTAAGCCTAAAATATTTTGTTGTCCATAATCATAAAGATACAACCGATATCATCTCATATGGGTTTAATAAAAAACCCCTGTTGTCTTATGTAATCTTTATCCAACCACAGAGTTCGCGGATTGATGTATCACGGACAATGAGGCTATGTAGGGATTCAGACCTCTTCTTAAAGACACTTTCCCGCTACTGCCAAGACAACTTGGCTTTGCATTTCCATATTAAACATTTAATTTGGATCATCTTTCCATTAATCACAAACGTATTAGCCATGGTGTAATGGACACTTTGGATCAACAGCCAAACTATTCAGACAATCAATTTACGTGTTGAACCGTATGTTGTCGGCTTGGGGTAAAACATATTAGAGCAGCGAGGCTAGGTTGTAGATGAGGCTAAAAGGGTGTAAAATAAAATAATACATGTAATTAAAAGGTTGCCAGATCGATCCTGGGAAACGTCAGTAGCATTATGATGGTTCGAAACTGAACCCGGCTGTCCCTGATTATTGGGTTTCAAATCATTGATCCTGGTTAATGAATCAGCTGATCTTAGTAACAAAGCTATTCAGATCATCTCACTTTAGGTGGCATCCCCATCTCCATTTATTGATAACGAGGTGTGCCAAAACATAATGGAGCAGAGTGTAGATGGTACCCACCCCAAGCCTTCTCAGTCTCCGCTCCGATATTCTGCCCGATTTCTTTACCATGAGGGTATAGTCAAGAGTGTAGCCTTAGTGGTCAAACCGACAACATACATGGTTTAAAATGTAATTTTGATTTATCAGTTCCTGAAAGCAGTCCTATTCGCAAGCAGGACTAATGCTATTACAATAATAGAACGATAGCGTGTTATTAATCTAGCTAAAAAGTTACAGCCCTCCCTAAAAAAATGTTTGGGTTCAGGGGAACCAAAAACTCAAACTTGAAAATGTTGTGAAAATAAACAATACCCCAGCCGCAGCAAACCTGCCAACTAAGTGAATTTCCATTGTCTGAATTGATTTTCAATTACATCTATTTAAATAACATTAGGTGTAACAAGTACTTAGGTTTGCTGCTACAAGGAAACTAATCAAGTGTGGTTTTTAGTAAAATGATAATAGTATAAAATGAATAAATTTGCGAAGTTTAATCAAAATATATCCGTAAACATTGGAATTTTAAACTTCCGTCGGGCACAATGATTTTCAAACACCAGAGGGCGCTCACGGAAGATACCTTCGGGAATACAAGAACTATACTCTTTTTCCCGAAAAAAAAAGTTCCGGAACAAATGCGCTGTCCGTCTTACACGAAATGTTGTTTACCCTTTCAACTCTAGCCAACAATTGCGCAATTCGTTCTTCTTCATCCATTTAATAATACCGCAAAATAAGGTCAAACCACTCCGGGAAACCCGTTATATCACAGGGTGCTCACGGAAGCTACTTCCAGTAGTGACGTGAACCACTCCCCAAGGGAGTGTCAACTGACAACTGGGAAAGGGGCAAGAGTAGCCAAAACCGAAAGAGGTGCGCGAGGTATGTCAGGCGATAGCCATGCCGAACCCAAACTATGGTTTTCATAATGAAAAATATAATGACCCGAAGATAACTTCCGTGATGCGCCCAATGGAAGGTTAAATTTACAATTTTTTTGAATTTTCACCGTTACCAATAACCGTACAAAAAAACTTAGATATACTGAATTATGCGTCCAAGAGTCCCTAACATGTTTTGAAAGCTCTAATTTGCAATTATTGTAAATATTAGAATTAGTAATTAAATTATAGTAGTAGACTCTCAGTAACCCGGCAGATATAGGACCGTGATACTGCCGGATTAGTGAAAATGCCGGATTACTGGAGTGCCATATTAGAGAGAGTCTACTGTTAATGTTGTATTAACCACAAACGGAAATTTTTTCTTTTCAGATACAAAGTGTAAAGTAACGCCATTTTTATTTTATTCATTCCAATCGAAAATATTCAGGGGAGTGTTTATATTCATATTTGTTTCAGGGGAGCTCGGATCAACCGCAGTGATGTGAAATGGGTCTTAGTTTATAGTATATGGTTGCACTCTTTAAGAGCAGCAATTAAATGGTTTATATAACCTACAAGCTGCTATACCCGTGCCTTGCAACGGGAAGAAAATGTGACCTAGAGAGCTACTAAAGTAATTCTGATATGTGTTTTTAAATACGGCAACTCTATGATTTAGTTTGAAAATATAAATTGATTTTAAAAGTCTAAACCTATCAACCCCTACTTTTTAGCGAATTTCCCATATAGGGAATAAGCTATTACCGTAGGTCTCATGGTATTAGCGAATTTCCCATATAGGGAATAAGCTATTACCGTAGGTCTCATGGTAAGACCTAGACTCGGGACCGATTTACTTTTTCGTTTTGAGGTCCCCAGAAGCCAAAAACACCATCCGTTCAAATTTACAAATTTGATGAAATTTGGTACAAGCGTGTAAACCTACGTTTATTCGAACGAGTTCGCGAACCAGCTTGATCGAATTTTGATGTGCCATATGCCTATATTTTTATTTGGTAAATAGCCTTAACCATTTACATAAAATTTTATTGTATCACTTTAATAATATAATAGATCCTCAGTTTCGGGATTAAAATCCCACCATCAGGCAGTTAAAAATGTCTTTTCACTCAAATTGAGGTCGAAACACAAAACCAATAAGCGATCCTGGGCCACTAAGCATAATGAAAGCTAGAGCAGTCTTTCACACATAACTTTTCCAATTGTCCAGGAGCTGCTCCTACCCACATCAGTGTACAGCCGATTAAACATAACCTACTTCTTTTGGGTAGCATCAAATTGCTACGATATTCAATAGCATTAACAATTTAAATGGTGTACTTTTTTCTATTATTTAGGTGCTTGGTAGAACCATAGACTAAGGCCGGGCGCACACCTGATGCGGCACGGCACGGCACGACGTTTTGCCCTAAGGCGCCTTATGCGACTAGATTTCAATTATTTCAAATGGGGGTGCCGCACACATCATCGGGCACGGCAAGGCAAGGCAAAACAGCGCCGTACGGCGCTTTGTTCTGCCTTTTCAACTTTCGTCTTTCGGGAAAAAGGCTTGAGGCAAAACGATGTGCGCATGCGCGAGGATCGACACCACGTTCAGCGCAGTGACAGCCCCTGTCAAAATCAGTGTGCACTTTCAACAAACAATTAGTAATTATGATTTTTCCGGATCTGCTCTTAGTTCTGCAATGAATGGTTTCAAGTTTCTTTTTTGGTTGATGGGATGCACCCACGATTCTCTGTTAGGGAGATCATCCATTACATTCATTAGGTACCATCATTGACTATATAAACACAACAGTCAATGGTACCATATAGTAGCGATGGCAGCAGCCTCTTCTTCGCCTTCTGCGTCCATTCTCACAAAATGTGTAGTACAAAGTGTCACAAAATGTACAAACAACCTCATAACACACAGTATCTCACTTTACTGAAACCATGGGATCGACCATGTGGGTGCTCAAGTCGCCTTGCCGTATGCATCTCAAATCTCCATCGGGCACGGCAAGGCGAGGCAAAGACGTCTCGCCTCGCCTTGCCTTGTGCTGTATCAGGTGTGCGGCCGGCCTAAGCAACACAAGTAGACTCCTCATCCCATTGTAAAGAAGCTTGTTTTTCGTGTCTAGTTCATGTATGTCCACACTGTATTGAATAGGCCACACACTAATTGGTTTGAGGTTTTCATAGCGAGGTTGAGTTATGAGGGTAAATGAAACCAACCAGTGAAGAGTGTAACTAAAATAATATATTGGAAATTATAAAATTTGTTCTAACTACTACAAAACATTCTTTTGAAAGAGGTTTCAGTGAATTATGAAAAAAACCATTAATCAACAATATTGAATTATTGATGTTCTCTAAACCAAATCAAACCAAGCAATTCAAAGTTGCTCTGCTGTAATATCTTAATAATACATAACAAGGTATTTAGAAAATTAATACCATTTCTAAGAAATATTTCAAACGGATAGAGTTACAATAGTTAAATGTACAAATCGATTCTCTCACTAAGCTTTGTGTGATACAAGTTTGAAAACTGTTTCAATAAGCACAATTAACCCATAATATAAAACTTGCAGGATCAAGAGGGAGTTGGATTATCAAACTCATCAGAAAATAGCACTGAAATTTAAAATAAAAGCTAAGAAAAGTCAATGTATGCCTTATTATGTACTCATCCACTATAATGAGTTAAATCTTAACAAATTACCAAATTAGGCATTAACAAACATGATGAGACAAAACTGATAAGGCAGTATCAATCGCGTTGTAGTTGTAGTCTACTCCGGCTAGGTAGGTGGACTCTGTGGATCTTGTTGTCATCTGTCATATACCATTTTATTAGCCATTATGGTTTGAACTGGGAATCATAGGTTATGCAACGTGTGCATATAAAAAAAGTGAGTGGTTGTGACGCAAGATTTGAGCGTTGACATTCCACTAGGAGATAGGCTATTCGATCAGAAATGTCAGATTGTACTTTAAGAATTCTAAAATTATAATTACATTTCATCATTCTTAACTATAATGGCCTCACAATGAATCATAATATTGTGAAAACAAAGTAATTTTTGTCGTGGAAAGCCTTGAGAGTAATTTGTATGTGTGTGAGTAAACAGCATATATGCATCCGTTAGCACAATAACTCAAGTAAAATAATATCAAATTTTTATGAAACTTTGTAACACCTACAATTATTAATATGGATTGAAAAAAAATATTGAGAAGTAGCCTATATTTACACAAGGACTATAAAAACAGGCCATGCTGCAGCAAGGGCAGCGCAACACTACGTCACAGTGGTGGATAGTTGTACTAAACTCTTACCAATAAAATTTTACAAACAGCCAGCTTGTTTATTTACCTAAAACATATGGGAATGACTATGGCAATGAATTTATCAATGAAATCCATCCACTAGTGTGACGTCATGGATCTTGCAGCATGGCCTGTTTTTCTAGTGGGGCCTTGAATTACACCAATATTCAAAGACAGTATTTGGAGAAAACCCAAAAATCGAAAACTCAGAAACCTGTATAGATGACCTGTATATTGGCGACGATAAGTAGGAGGTAAGATGCAGAGAGGAGGATGCAGCTACAAGTAGGGTGTGGAGAAGTCGTCTAGAAGAAAGGTGTCAACTAATTAGGAAGACCAATATTAAGGTGGAGCAACCAAGTGGCTGGAGATATAAGAATTGGGGGAGGAGTGGACATGGCGGAGGACAGAGGAGCCTGGAGGCAAGTTGTTGGCAAGTCCAAAAATCAATTTGGGCAAGGGCTACAGTAGTAGAGTAAGCAAGTTGTATGGGAACGGTTACGAAGAAAATTCATTTAAACTTTAAATTTAAAATTGCCATGTTATTCTTATGAAAAATAAGTAAACTGATAACTTCATTGTTTATGGATGAATTATTATAAAATATTACATAAAAAACCTACATCAGACTAATTAAAATTTGCTTAGTCTGCAGCATTGTGTGGCAGGGGTATTTGGAAATACACACACATTGCATAAACTAGTTTATGTCCGGTCCAAACCATGTTGATCACTGAAATGGTATTTGGTGACCGATGACAACCAGACCAAAGGCAACCTTCACTTACACAACCAGTACTATGCAATTGAAGCCTGTACAAAAGAAACAATTTTTATTGAATACAGAACACCATTTTATTTAGTCAATTAATCTTCACGTACAGACAGCTGTATAACATATCCTTATATAACTTTTAGTATATCCTAATTCCTGAATTTAATAAGGCCTACCTGTACTACCTAAAATGAGTAATAAAAATACCAACAAACTTAAGTTCAACTGCCAAAAACAAGCACAATAAGTTAATGCACTAACTACATATCACTGTAAGGATCAGGAAAGGTTTGAAATAACCAACTGTAAAAATAAAAACGTAAAACAAAAAGCCGTCACAAAAAGATTTTAAAATTCCATACATTGTCCACTAACTCATTTGATTTTACCGAATGTGTCACACTCCTTAACTGAACATATGAAGTTTAAAAAAATAAATATTGAGGTTTGCAGAAAGGTATAAAAACTATTATTATTTAATTTACCAAACAAATAAGTTACCACTGACAAATGTGCACTATAATACTTAATAACATCATAATATAATAATAACCTATATAAAATAAATCAAATGTAATGGATACACAAATAACAACTTACCTAAGAAAAGAGTTTGTTTCAGAAAATCAGATTATTATCATTCTACACAGTACAACCTCCTTAAGTAGGATCTCCTGATAACAACATGGACCTGTTTGTAATAATCAAACATCAAAGTGTTAAATAATGTGTTCAACTATAAACAGAAATTGATATAAAATTGTCATTCTGATAATGCTTTATACATAATCTTTATAAGGAGCGGTCGCAACTGAGTTTGTTTTCTGGTGACTGAAGAGATGCATGCCTGTGTGGCGAGTCATTTTAATTTTGATGTGAAGAAATGTCAAAAATATTTTTCTTTGTAATAAAGGATATTATTGTTAGTATATTTCCATTTTTTGTTGTATTCTATACAGCGGCAGATCTAGAACAGTCACAAGGTGACCTACCGGGGGGTCTGGGGGGGGTACCCCCCATGAAATATTTGTGTTAACTATGTCTCCAAAGTGGCAGTTTAATACCATTTCTTTGTCCAAAGTGTGACAAATTATTTTACACAATGTGTGCACTACTGTATTACATGCTGTACAAAAATATATATGTATTCCTCGAGGGGGGGGCCCCTTAGCCACCCCTCTGGATCCGCCAATGATTCTATAGTCTTCCTCTGACCAAAAACCATTTCCCTTATGTCGGATGGGCCTCAGCCCCATACTGGTCGGACTTAATGAGGTTGTACTGTACTTTGAAAGAATCTACTAAGGGGAGATGAAATACAACATAATTGTGTCGTTAACTTAATGTGCGCTTGCAACCGTAGGGAATATATCTTTTCTTAGAGCCAATTCTTCTCCCTTAATTTATAAAAAAACCAGACAAGTATGCAGTTATTAATAACTTTTCCAGCAAGATAATCTCAATGCCCTTCCAATTTATAAAAGCCTATGTACAAAAAATCTTATGATCGATTCCAATTTACAGTGTTAGCAAAACGGGAGTGCCGATGGAGACCAGGCCAAGTCCCTTCACACACACACTCCCGTTTTGCTAACACTGTTATATAAATGCCGCTATTAAAATATAAAAGCAAAACAATTGCAACACTCACTTGACACAGGTGTTATACATACAATTACAAACCATGTTCATATCACTCTTAGAACCATTAATCACTGGGACGAAGTAGAATGTGGCAGATTACGTTTACATGGCCAAAAGTTCTTCTGAGGCCAAAAAGTCCTTGTTGTGACTCCTACAAAAAACAAATATTTTAAATTATTTAATATTAGGCACTATTAAGAATCCAAAATAACCATCAATGATTCAAAAATAAAAAGCCTACTAGCGTACCTGTTGCTCAAATTCGAGCAATTGCGAAGCATTACAGGCGTTATTTTAAAACGAATAACGGTCATAATTTCCAATTACTTTATTAAAGTCGACTCAAAGATTATGGAAATACTCACGATGTACACAAGAGTTAGATATAATAAAAATTGTTTGTAAATATCTTATCTTTTTTCAAAAGCTGATCTTGTTTTTTTACAGTTTTCTACAAATGTTTCCCACTCATAGCCGCATTAGGTTCTCTATAATAATGATTATAAATGAAGAAAAAAAAACATTATTTATATTTCTTCTACTTGGTTGTGTTCTATGACTTTCTTATGTTTCCATTGTTTGCAAATCAGCTCTTTCAATGATTGCTTAAGAAATGTAGCACAGTGTTAATTCAGTTTTATTTTTAGTAGGCCTGTATCAAATTGTCCAGGATTTCTCGCTTTTTCCATTGTAATAATTACACCAACCCAAGTATCGTATACAGATGCAATACGCCAAAGAATATCATCTACAACGTGAAACACGTTGAAATAAACAATCTCCAAGAAGTGGTAAAAAAAAGGCAGAAACCAACCCATACAATAGACATAAGTTAACTCCATAAGAAATAATTTTAAGATTTAGCGCGGGTCGCGCAGGTCGGGGCGCGACAGGGCACGACGAGACGCCCTGTCTTGTTGCTGTCACACACAGGCAGGGCACGTCAAGTAAAAAGTTTAGCCCCCATAAACCTGAAAATTAATATAGGATTTTTTATTTCTGAGCCTTGAGTCGATTTAGGCTCGTTTCACATCTACCCGGCTTCTACCCGGCATGCCGTTAACCCGACTTCTAGCCGGCACCGGCACGAGTGCACCTTTCACATTACGCCGACACTGGCACTCCGGCAATAGTACTCAAGCTTGTGAAACTTGTGTGTCGTAGGGATAGAAATAGAACTTAATAGAGCAATTGTAAAGTTAGGTACTTTGAAATAACTTTATTGCAATTGTATTTATATTTGATTTTTTTTTATTTGATTCAGTTTGAATTTGAGTAAAATTTAATTCAATGTTATGCAATAAAATAAAATCAAAAAATCAAAAAATAAATTGAGTAAAAGTTCTATTTAATTCAAATAATTCTACTCTTGAACTAAATTAATAAGTAGTTCATGGTCTATTCATGGACATGACCAAAACTTTGCGAACAAATACCCAAAATTAATACACATTAACTACAAAGAACTGAACTAAAAGTACTCTTGGTGCACCCGACAGACGGCAGGTGCCGGTTGTATGTGAACAGTCACATTGGGCCGCTATACCCACTACTCCGGGTGGCTTGTTTACCCGGCACCGGCAGCCGGCCTTCGCCGAGGGGGCACCCGGCATCCCTCGACTAGTACCCGGCAGCCGGGCAAGTGATTAACCGGTAACGACACATGCCGTGCATGTGTGAACGGTGCCATATACTTCTTCACCCCATTGCCGGTTAAACGACACCCGGCACCCGGCAGCCGGGTAGATGTGAAACAGGCCTAAGCCAGCTTTTAAATTTGACTTTATACTTGGGAGCAGAATAGAAAACAAAATTCAAAGTCATGCCTCCAGAGGAGTGGTTTTTGAAACCCTTTAGATATGAACGATGGCCCTCTCTTTCCTCAGTTATCAATACCAAGATAAATTATTAGTTATTCAACCACTGTAGTAATATCATCACTGTATAGTCTTGTCAAAGGGTGTAATCTTTGGTCGTATAAATTGTTACAGTCTTGTATCTAAATTGTATCAGGTTGTAAAATAATCCTTATCAAAATTAGCCCGTAAGGGAATAAATCACATGACCGCGCATGCGCAGAAAGTTCTGCCCGGCATCGACTTGCCTTGGGGCATAATTTTGGAGACCTTCGCATTTTGCCCTGAGGGCGCCCGGGGGCGTCTTTTCGACGTGCCCTGCCTTGCCCGGTCCTGTGTGTGGAGCTCCATAAGCGCCCGTGCAATTCCCGTCGCACAAGACGCCCCGGGGCAAAATGCCCTGTCGCGCCCTGCCTTGCCTGGTTCTGTGTGTGGCCGGCCTTACTGTGATATTAGGATTTTCCACTGATTTGGTAATAGAACATTATATTGCAAAACATAACACTTTGCAGAAGAAAATCAATTTTAAAATCAGAAAAAAACCATTGCAAATACTTAGTTTTGACAAATTCAGTAAATCACAATTTAAATATTAACAGCTGTTTCATTAAAAAGTTGTGTAAAATTATACTTATGGTCATAATGTAAATAAATCTGCTGAGGGTACTTTACACTTCTTCATCGTACACACTTTAGTACACTTCTTTATACACTTCTTCATCGCCTGTTTCTCGTTATTTTATGGGGTTTTTATGGGAAAATAACATAATTTACCATAACTTTTGAACCGTAATTTTTACAGAAATGGGATTTGTACCATTTTGTTCAGAATTTAAAGGGCTAGAACATACTAAATTTTTATTAAAAATCGTTCAGGCCATTTTCGAGAAAATCCGATTTTTACATTAAGAAATCTTTGTTCAAAAAAAGAAAAAAAAATGTAAATTATTTGTTTGTTAGCCTTATATTGTATCAATTGGACCTCACCGACAAGTTTTATAAACTTGGTGAGGCCAAGCTGTTGTAATTTTCATAATAAATATATTTGTATTTGTATTTGTATTGTATTTGCGGTTTTGGTTTTTTATGGGAAAATCCCCATTAAAAATAAAAAAAATTAAAAAAACGCCTGGAGATATCATGGATTAGAACCTACATACCGAATTTCATTGAAATCGGACCACAGGTGTAGTCCCTAGCTCTGTACACATCCAGACACACAGACACACACACAGACATCACTTCGAAAACCACTTTTTTGGGTCCAGGGGGCCCAAAACAAATATATCCACTCAAAACTCAAACTCAAAAATTTTGACGAAAACAATACTTTCTCCATATACTATGGTATAGGGGGAGAAAGTAAAAAGAACAAGTTTTTAAAAGTATTAAAGATTAGACTTGCTCATTAAGCTTAAAATGTAATAGAAATACTAAGATATCCATATTGCACCCACAAAAATTACTGTACTTTACCTCAGATTTTAGTATTCATTTCCTTCTAAGAAATCAGCGTTCTTAAAATCTTGTTCTGTCTTAGGAAAAAACTCTTCTGTGAAGCAATCATCAAAAGCTGCATCTTCCTGAAATAGCTGTTCAGTTGGTTCTTCTTTTACTGGGACAAGTGTTAGCAGTGGTGAACTTTCATCATCACCCTCAGGGACATCAAGTGGCTCAGACTTTACTGTAGATGTTAATTTATCTGGTCTTGATTTCAAATAAGAAGAAAACAAATGATCCAACCCTTCATTATCACTCCCAAGTACCTGGGCTAAAACATTTCCCCTGTCGACAGACTGATTATTTGTTGAAGAGCCTGAGTGAATCAACAATTCAGGCGTTGTACTTAAATCGATAGTCGGAATATTCGGGACTCTTTTTCCCAAGTTTACTTTGACTTGAAATTTGTTTAAATCGTGTTTTTCTTTCCCACCCTGCATTCTAGGCTGTCCGTTATGGTTTTGAGGTACAATATTATCCCCCATACAAGTACTATTCCATTTCTGATCGGTGTTTTCTGTGATTTCTTGTTTTATTCTTTGCAATGCAGCTTCCAACTCTGCTGTCATTGTGGAAATTTCTGAATGATTCATTCTGGAGAATTGGGTTCTTAACTGATCGGGACAATTCTTACTGTTATTAATTTTACCCTGACCATCAGTCCCATTTCTGATGGGATTCATTTGCATCAAAATATCAGAACCTATTATAGATTGTTCTGTCTGGAATTTATTATCTTCATCAGCACTAGCATCATGATATGTGCATAGCAACTCAGCAGGAATGTTTAAAAAGTTGCAAACATGAAGGTACTTCAACGTTTGTTTAATAAGTTTGGTTTCACAACTGAATATTTCATTGGAAGTCTGTAGCACTTGGTCAACTGGTGGAAAATGCTGTCGAAGGGCCTTCGTCATAAATAGTAAAACTCTCCTCACCTTGTGAACAAGATTTCCTAAGTTTGGCCTTTTCATGTATAGAGAACCAGCAATATACAGGATTAGAGTGATTATAAGAGCATTACTTGTTTTTGTTGCCATAATTTTTGTCACAAGCAAATTAAAGTTTGGAGAAAATTTCGCACCTGCATCCATAACGGTTTTCAAGTAAGCTTGTTTGGCTTGGTGAACCTCGGCCTGTTTGAGTTCTGTAGATGTTAAGGATTCTGCTCTTTTCATTCTCTGAACACATTCAAAAAGCTCATCAACACAAAGAGAGATGCTATCGGATAGAGAAAATAACGCATAAGTTCCAGTGGTTTGATCAAACACTTCTTGATACGATGTGAAAAAGTCCTGGATGAAAGCACATTTTTCCTGGACAGTTATAGCGTCTGATTTTTCAGTATTAGATGAAATTGTATTCCCAGGTAAAGACTTGGTATTAAACATTGCAGATTCAGAGAGATTCTTTTGCAATGCTTCTAAACGTCTCTGCAACTGGTTATAGATTTTTAGTTGACTCTCAGGTAAATTTTGATTTTCAGTCAAGCTCTTGGAGAATACTTTACTTTCGTCTATTTCAATAATTTCTTGTTTAATTTCTACTGTGTCTGAGAATAAATTGGGGTCTTTTCCTGCATGTTGTAGGGTTTGCTTCTGAATCTCCATGAGTTCTTGAGAAGTCTGTAATAGTTTCTCTGCTTCGCTGTTACTATTTGGAGAAGGTCCTTTTGATAGAACATCAGCAATTTTTTCAGCAAGAGATTTTAATCTTGCAGCTACATCAGTGGCTTCCTCTTGTTTATTTTCATTTTGGGACTGAGATACTGTTTTCCCAGTATCAGATGTTCTTCTTGATCGGGTCATACGCTTTGGTTTTTTTGCATTACTTGATGGGGCGAAATCAGGATCCTCATCAGTGTCATCTTCATTAATCTCCAATCTTCTTTTTCCATTCGATGACGCCCTCCCTCGACCTCTGCCTCTACCTCTACCTCTACCTCTGCCTCTACCTCTACCTGTATTTTGACTCTGGTTTGAAAGTTCATCCGACTGATCTGACAAATCCATATCATTATCCAATCCAGCTGAATTATCTTCGTCACTATTTTGTTCTGATTTCACATCAGGTGGATTCGATCCCACAGTTTTGTCTTGATTTATAATGTATTTCTCTAAGTCGGTATTTTTTAATAGTCCTTTCTCGTTTGCATCTCTTAGAAGATCTTGTATGGGCAAATCTTTTAGTTCGAGTGATACAGCTTTGCCTTCTTTCCTCATAGTTCTTTGCTTTTGTGTATATGCTTTCATTATTGCATCAGCTATTGGAGTAGGCATTCTTGCAAATCCGGGGTTTTTCTTTGAGGCATCATTACTTTCATTTTTATCATTACTTTCATCATCATTTACATCATTACTTTCATCATTTTCATCATAATTTTCATCGTCATCTTCATCATCATTTTCATCTTCATTTTCATCTTCATCTTCATCTTCATTTTCATCATCATTTTCACCATCATTTTCTTCTTCATTTTCATCATCATTTCCTTCATCATTTTCATCATTACTTTCATCATTAATACCATTTTCAGACACGGCTTTGGTACTTGAAGAATGATTGTCGCCATTTACTGATTCTGCGTCAGACTCATTTGCTACAGTCTTAGATAAATTTCCGTCCTCATCCTCTTCATCACTGGCGACCAAACATGGACGCTCATTGGCCATAGTGTTAACTGCAAACAAAATGTACAAGATAAAAATAATATAAATAAAATCTGATTTTTAAACTTTAGTGATTTAGGCCAAATATTAAATTTCTGTCCTAGAGGTCAAGACCTACCCAAAATCAAAACTAGGAGGGGGGGGGGCAAGAGTGTACTTGAAACAGGGGTCGCTAGGGGTGGCCCACCAGAGGGGGCCTGGGGGGTATGGAATACCCTCTTGTCATGAAAATTTTAAAAACAATATGCCAAAATTAGCGTTTTTACGCTATTTTGAGACATTAATATAAAAACCCTAGCTCGATAATCCAGTGTTTATGAAGTATTAATTTATAAAATGGCTTTATGTCTGTCAATGGGGTCAGGTCAGGTTGCTTAGCTTTACAATACACATTTAACTGTATTTTTTGTGTCAATGCCAGCTTTTCACATCTTTTTATAACACCCAAAATGTATGGTAAACTATTTTGAAGAATGTCTGATAACTTATGCCGTAGAGCAGTTTTGTTCGTTACATTATTGCTGAAGGCAAATGAAAACAAAATAGTGTCACAAATATAGGTTTATATTAATTCATTATACTACACAAAGTTGTTAGTTTATACATATTGCAAGAAATTGGTCTGTTTATTATTAACTTAGCCTACTGTTGGAATTTTTATTTGACTAAGAAATAACTCAAATACTAAAAAAAATTGATAACGTGTAAAAAAATGTCATAAAAAATCTGTTAACTATCTTACTCATATTTTCTCGTACTAATACAATTTGTCTTGGATCTCAATTTTCTTATACCTTATCTGGCTTCTAGAGGGGGTGGCAGCTGCCCCCCCCCCCCTGCCCCTCTCTGGGTACACCCATGGGTGAAGAAGCTAAGGCCTATTGGTTTTGTCAAGGTTAGCTTTGTGATTTTTAGGGCCATAACTAGGTTTTTTTTTTAAATATATATATATATATATACTAGCAGAGTACCCGTCCTTCGTACAGGCTTGGAATATAAGTATAAAATGTTTATTGCAGTTATACTCAAGCTTTGCGTTTGCAATAAGGGAGGACACAGTTTGATAAAATTTGCTTATTTGCTTTTTTAATTTACAGTATTCTATAGTATTACACATCTCCATAGCCATAATGTTCTACCACTTCACCTAAACAATAGAGAAAAATAAATTATCAACAATTCGCAAAATATCACAAATTCTTCATGAAATGAAAAATATATGTTTAATGGGAGTATGCTGTGGGAGTATGTTTAATCTATGGTTCAAATTAGCTGTTTTCATAAATGCAAAAAAATATAGTGCTGCACCCTGTTGGTAAATCTTATAACTTTTTAATGCTTTTCCATATCATAGAACCAACTTTTTTAGTTGAAACAGCTGAGTAAATTCTTTAATTCCCTTTAAATATGAATACTCATAAGGTTAACATGGGGAATTACAGAGCCACTGGGGCGGAGCCCGAAAGAATCAGCCGAAGCCGAACGCATATCGCATATCACACACAGACGGACTGAAAGCGTTGGCGAGATGGCACTGGCTTACATGGAGCAGCAGCCCCGAGGCTACGACGTCAGAAGTGATCTGCCGGAAGCGATGGCGGAAAATCGCAGTCAAGAAAAGAGGAGCTAAACTCTGCCAGAAAACAATTTTAAATTTCTTTTTCTCAATTCGTTTTTTTTTTACAAATTGTAAACTTGGTTGTATTTACAGTGTTATGAAAAAAAAGAGAAGAAGTGCATTTTCATAAATTAAGTAATGTAGGCTAAGTGTTTATTTTAAATAAATATTCTCAACACAGGCTTTATAATTTTTATAAAGTATTTTGGGGGCAGCCCCAAATTTTCAAATAAATGTAAACATCTATCATGTGACCCCTCATTTTAAAAGGTTTCTCAAGACAAATCAAATGGCGCAAACTAGAGGTCAATATCGCACCCCTAATCAAAATGGCAGTCATTTTGAAATATCCCCTATTAACTTTTTAACAGGTTATATTAGCAGGAAACTAAACTCAGCATAGGCCTATCTTTATAAAAAAAGAAAATTCACCTTTTGGTCGGTATTAAAATATTAAATTTTTAAAGCAAACTCTTTAAATAATTAGGCCTAAAATGACTGCCATTTTAGTTAGGGGTGGGATGTTGACCTCTGGTTTGCGCCATTCGATTTCTCTTGATAAACCCTTTAAAATGAGGGATCACATGATAGGTGTTTACATTTGAAAATTTGGGGCTGCCCCCAAAATACCCCATTTTGGGGGCTGGGGCAAATTTGTATCTTTGATGAAAAAGTGAAATTTCTTATGTTGTAAATATGTGCCGAGCAGTGTATCCACACGACCAAAAAAATAATCCCACTTGCCGCGTCGAGAAATCCTGTTTAATCCCGCTTTTGAATGATGGAAAATGCCGTTTATCCAGCATGTTTTTTTTTATTCACTCCAGAGTGTAATATTTGACATACCATGTTTAAATATTGCTATTATCTTTTGTGACAGTAGTTTAATCAATCTGAGTTTGTTTGTTCCTCAAATTAAATAGAAAATAAGTTACATGTCATAGCTGAAAATCCCGTTTTATCCCGCATACCGTTTTAATCCCGCTCGTGGTCTAAAAATCCCGTTTTCGGGATAATAATCCCAAAAATGGAAACACTAATGCCGAGTTTGGTTTTCCTACTGCAACGCGTTAAAAAGTGAACTGGGGGGTTCCAGACTTTTGCCTAACCCTGTATACCTAGATCTGATATCACTCATATAAACAAACACTTCATATCTAGGTGTATGCACTTTTCACAACCTTATCACATACGGCCTCTTGCTGTGGGGACATTCCGCTGGATGTGAAAACATACTTCTCCAGCAGAAAAAAACTCTTAGGTTGATCGACTCTGCCAGTTACCTGGACCATCTAGTAGGTCTATGTTCGGCAGACTGGGTACACTGACAGGGTGTCCCACGTAAGGTGTCTCAAATTGATAACGGAAAAACGGCTTAATTTACAAGAATGAAATAAAATTTATTCCTGCTAAACCAACCCCAAGGAATAACGTTAAATAAAATATTTTAAGCTTTTTTCCGATACATGGTGTGCCGAAAACTGATGGTCACTAGTTTGAATCTCAGAATTTTCAAATGTAAGCATAAGTTATATGTCCCCTAATATAGGCCCTAGACCGTTTTAAAGGTATTTAATAGACGAATATTTGGAGAAAACAGAAATTAATTATCTTTTTCCATTTCAAAATGGCGGCTGTATTTGGAGAAAATCAATATGTTTTTAAATACTCTGTGTTTCCTATACCAATGCACTTAACTTAGCCCTTTTTCGGTTAATTTTCTTACTCGTTATGAAATTAGCTTTACTGTGATATGCTACAATTAACGTTTTTTTTTAATAAGTTTGATAAAAATTCCAAGGAAATTGTTTTTTGAACATTTGCAAATGCCCGATTGTTCAAAATTTTCAAATAGCAACATACCATGTCAAGCGGCACATCATGTTATAGGGGGGTTTTTTTTAATTCTTAACAACTTTGTAATTTACACTTAGTTTGTGTAGGCCTATCTCTTTTAGTTTTTATGTACCTAAACAAAAAAACTTAATTTTCCTAAGTACCGTATATCAAATGCATGTTAGCCTATGGGTTTAACACTAAAAATGAAATGGGTCCATTAGTGTTATTATAGGTTAGTGTTAACCTAACCTAACCAACCAAATGATAAGTTAGGCCTATATAAAATTAAATAATCGGTATTTTCATTAGGTTGTTTTTCACAACAGATAGGCCTATGGAAGTCTAAACTTACCCCTGGCATAACTTAGAAGGAAAGAAATCAACAAAGTTTAAGGGTAGGGCCTAGTAGGCCTAGGCGGTACTTTCCTGTCAAAGGGAACATTCATCCTATTATGGATGAATTTTTGCGATACATCGATATTCTATTTTTTGATCCGATAGCCTAACTCAGAAATCAGAAACATTTATTGCCGAAAACATTACAAAAATGTATAGGCCATCGTCAGGTACAATTTATAGCAAACATGAATTGCTTGTCTTAAGAAAACAACCATTCTTTAAATCGTCTTTAGATTTCTATCACAGAAGTAGATTGAAAAAAAATAATATATAAGTAGGCCTATATTAAACAAATGTCAACAATACATACATTTTTTTAACAGTTTAATTAGTTTAACTTATAACGATATTAATGAACAAGATGTCAGCTGACAACGACAATAAGTAAATATTGTTCAGTATCAACAATTTAGGCCTAAATATATTAACGTAGCCAAGTTATATTGAAATGATCAACTGTTCTAAACTAACCTTACCCTACCTAACCAACCAAACTTGCTGTAACATTTCCAAATCCCGTTTCATATTACTCACATGCCTTTCTGCTAAACTTATCATATGAAAGTTTAAAATGGTGCAGCAAGTTTGGTTAGTTATGTTAGGTTAGTTTAGAACAGTTTTATTTCTGGATCCACATAGGGAATAACTTATAAGTAAGTTACTGTTTTTGCCTAAACAAGATCAGTTGTTAATTTGTAATTTAAATGTGTTTGAAGATCTTTAATGTAGGCTATGGATCGTAAAGGAAAACAAATAAGTTATCAATCGAAAGAAATCAGATCGGTAATAGGCCTAAGTTAAATGTTCCCTTTAACAGGAAAGTACCGCCTAGGCCTCTTGACCGGTCCATCCAATAACAAAGTAGGCCTGTTATCAAAAAAGAAATAAGTTAGGCCTAGCCTACCAGTATAGCTATAGAAATTTGTGTTCTAGGCCTACGCAAGAGGCATTTCGCTAGAGGTCAACATGAGAATAAATTTGTTTTCGTTTGGGTTGGGTGAACGAATTCTGCGATCATTGAACCGTTCCGTGGGCTGCACTTTACTTTACGTCCTACACTCATTCGAATGAAAATATCGATCGATATATCGATTGTATCATTCGATATATCGTTTGGTTAGTTAGGTAAGGTTAACCTAACTTAACTAACCAAACGTTATATCGAATGAAACAATCGAACAATCGATAAGTTAGTTTTATTCGAATGAGTGTAGGACGTAAAGTGCAGCCGAGTGTAGGACGTAAAGTAAAGTGCAGCCGTTCCGTGTCCAGTTAGGTTAGGCCTAAGTTACGACAAAAACATAACTTAGTCCTAAGTTTATTAACTTAATAGATAGTAAAAATAGCCCACTTGTTAAAGTTCTGATAACTTAACGTACGGTATTTAAAAAGTTATCTTACCTCAGTTGGCAAAATCAAACAAAATAAGTAGGCCTATGCAATATCGGGAACATTGACTGCTCAGTAGCAAATAATAGGCTAAATCAATAGACGCTTCAAACACTTAGGTAGCCTAACCTTAATATTCCAATCTGAATTCAAGTTTGACTTCCTGACCTGGCACAAAACGGCACACAGTCCACTTGCTTTCTCGTTTCTCTTCTTGCTTTTAGTTTATTCAGTATCTCCTCTCTACGAACAAACGACTGAGTCGAATCAACTTCAATCAAACTACAAAAGAAACTCAAATCCAAAACTCAACATGAGCCATGATGGTTCCCAACTCCGAAAAATGGAAGGAAATTAATTACAAATTACGATATACAATTTTTTTACAAACAAACAACAGGCAAACGGCAAAAAGGTAAACAGTTACCAGTGTTGCCACCTCGATGTTGCAATTTTAACCTAAAGCTGGGCTAAAATTGCTCTAAATCTACTTTGACTTAGAGATGGGCTAAAGATTCCATCGATGTAGCCGGTACTACAATGGTTCCAGCTACACTCGTGGACTCATTACAATTACAAGTAACCGTTCCGATTCCAAACAATCCAAACGATTACTTCGTTACTGCCGTTACAGAGTAGCCGCAATCGACCGATTGCACTCGTAATCGTCATGGTATTGATACTCCGGTAATCCAGTTACAGTAACGCCTTTTGAATCCAAGTTTACTGAAGCCAAATAAATATTTGTTTGTGTTTGTATCGCAATAAATACAAATTTAAATGAGTTTCCAAAATATAGCATTCATGAATTATTAATCATTAATCAATCATCTAATCTATCATTAATTTAAATTTGTATATTATTACACAAATTTATACAATCAATTACTGTAGTAATTTGTAACAATTAAATCATTCTAAGGAAGGACGTAGGTTAGAATAAGCAAAACTACGAGATATGTTTTTGCACATTGTAATCAACACAATTTTAATTAAGTAACATTATTTTCAAATCATAGTGGATTAATTTAATCCGATAAACTGATTTGGATTTCGCATTCAAAAACCTCAACTGTTCACCGGGTGCGAGGCGGCGGCGGAGTTAGTTAAGCGGAGCTCTTTGGGATCAACTTCAATGCAATATTTATAAGTGTTGGACTGGACTGTGGAATGGGGTTATCTCGCTTGTCAAGCAAGCTGGTAGCTGGACTCATTTACGGAATCGAAACGGCATGGAATCATCTTCTCTAAACGATTCCAGGCACATCGATTTGCTACTATAACGAAGTAATCGGAACCGGTAGTCTGATACTTGAGTAACGATTACTTCAGCACCAACCATGTAACGATTACAAAGTAACGATTCAAGTATTTCGTTCCCACCTCAACTTTGACTTACCCTAATACCCTTATGTTAAAATTTATGTAATGCTAAATACCATTGTTTAAATAATAAAAATCATACATAAGGTGGTTAAAATTGGGCTCCATCATACATATTTTGTATATGAAAATATCGAACCAAGAACTATCGTATTTATTCCTCACTAGCTGTAACCCGCGGGCTTTGCCCCGTTTAACTTCTTAATTTTCAAGATTATCTCGTTCGCATGGCTCAATCACGTCCTGGTTGAAGTTTGTTCGCTACGCTCACTCACCTTTAGGTTGGAGCTCGTTCGCTGCGCTCACTTGCCTTCAGTTTAGCTCGTTCGCTACGTTAACTCGCCTCCAGGTTGAAGTTCGTTCGCTACGCTCACTCACCTTTTGGTTGCAAATTAGCTGTTGTCATAAATGTAAAAGAAATAATAGTGCTGCACCCTGTTGGTAATCCTTGTAACTTTAATGCTATTGAACATCATAGAACAGAACCAACTTGTTTAATTGAAACAGCTGTTAAGATTAAATAATTCCAATTCTCATAAGATTAACATGGGAAACTCCAGAGCCACTGGGGCGGAGCCTGAAAGGATTTTTGAAATAAGAATATGCCTATATGTTAATCGGGAATGTGAGCTATCATCATGCCAAATTTCAGCCCAATCCGACAAGTATTTTTCGCGTTCACTTGTCACAAACATACATCCATACATCCAAACTTTCTCATTTATAATATTAGTAGGATTTGTATCTACGACTACTCTTCTTTGTAAAATCAATAAATCATATAACTTCATACGTAGCTTTCACCAGTGAAGTTATTTAATTTACACAATCAGTAAAATCAAAACGTAATTCAACTGAACCACATGATTAAATAGCAGGAAGTAATATAATAAATGGAATAACATATACTATTCGTATTTTAACGTGTAATAAAATCAAAAACAGATAATTCACAACTATCGCTGAGATCGTAGATTAATATGGAAATGCATTATAGCGATCCGATTTAACCAGTGGAGTCACAGTTCTGTCGTAATTAAAAAGATTTTTGAAACCTGAGAGCCTGTGAGTTGAGTTGGTATTAATATTCTTTAAAAACATGTGTTGTTTATTATTAAAGAATAACAATTGATTCTCATTCTACTCATAACATGGGCTTTGTTAAATAAAATAATACTAATTTCTTTATCCAACATGTATTGTTTTTATTTGGTTATGGGCTACAGAAAATATTAAAAGAATGGATTTAAGAGTGAATGTTGAAAAACTAAGCAATTCTCAATCATGGAGAAGGTGGAAGCGCCAGATGGAATTAGTTTTGAGACATCATGGAATTAGTGATCTGATTACTGGTGAAAGGACAAGGCCTGAAGAAACAGAGGAGCAGAAGCTTAAGGATTTTAAGAAAGGTGACACCTTAGCTCAGGTACTTATTGTAAATGCTCTAGACGATTCACATGTAGAATTAACAGCTACTTGTGATAGTGCACATGAAATGTGGCAGAAGCTGTTGAGTATATATGAACAATCATCAAGTCAGAGACTAGATAGAACAATGGAACAGTTCTTTACATCTAGTATAACTGATGGAGAAGATTTGATCAAATATATCTCAAGATTGCAGTTAAACTTCAGAGAAGTGAATGATGAACTTAAAAAGCATAAAGCTTCAGAACTGCCAGAACTTGTGTTGATGTCAAGGATTATGAGTACACTACCTAAAGAATTTTTTGAGTTCAAGAGTGTATGGGAAAGCATACCAGTGAAAGACAGAAGTGTTGATTTGCTAATAGAGAGAATTCGTCTGATTGAGTCCAGGCTACCTAGGTCTATGAATTCTGATAATGGACAAGCCTTACAGGTTAGTAGAAATAGCACAAGTTCATTCTCAGAAGGCAAAAAGCATTCTATAAAGAAGAAAATAAAGTGTTTTATTTGTAAGGGACCACACTATGCTAGTCAGTGTCCAAAGAAATCAGAAAAAGAAGACAAGAACAAGACTGAGCCTAGAAAATGTAACAGTGGTCCATTCTTGTGTTTTGTAGCAAAGGAGCACAAGAAAGACAACTTTATTGCAGACTCTGGAGCATCGCAGCATATGTGTTTCCGGAGGGACTTCTTTCACACATATCAGAGGTTTACTTCACCAATTAACGTCACTGTGGGAAATGGTGATGATATTGAGGCAGTTGGAGAGGGAAGTATTCGAGTAAGTGTGAATATTGGTAAGAACCGATACATCACAACTTTAGAGAATGTATGGTACGTTCCCAAGCTAGGAAGGAACCTGATGTCAGTCAGCACAACAGTGAAGAAAGGATTTAGTTTCAAAGTAACTAAAGAAAAATGTGTCTTCATGAAGAATAACGTTGCACAGCTGTATGGACATTGTGTAAATGGACTCTATGAAGTTGAAATGGATGTTCTGTTGCCGCATGCAGAAGCTAAAACAGCGTGTAGTAGTAAACTGAAAACTGTCCAAGAGTGGCATGAATCTCTGGCTCATCAAAATAAGACACATGTGTTAAAAACTCTTAAAAGCAGGGGAATACGTGTCAAGGTAGAAGATGAATTTTGTGAAGGTTGCGTACTAGGCAAGCAACACAGAGCTACATACCATTCTCGAACTGTAAAGCCAACAATTGCAGGAGAAATAGTAAGTGGAGATCTCTGTGGTCCTATGGAAAACATTTCTCTAGGAGGAAGTCGCTACTGCCTGGTTTTCAAAGACTACTTTACTAAATTCAGAAGAGTATTTTTCATCAAAAATAAGACGGAGGTTACAGACTGTATTGAGACATACTTGAATGAATGTCAAACTGCTGGACATGTGGTAAAAACGTTTATGAGTGATGGTGGGACTGAGTTTAATAATTTTGCAGTGAAGAAATTGCTTGCTAAACGAGGCATCACTATGAGAACTGTTATGCCTTATACACCAGAAGAAAATGGTTCTATTGAACGTGAAATGCGCACGTTAGTTGAATCAGCAAGAAGCATGTTGTATTCAAAGAGATTGCCAAAGAGCTTATGGGCAGAGGCAATGAATACGGCGTGTCATGTGATCAATCGGACAGGACCAACAAGTACAGAAGGTACACCTTATGAACTTTGGTATGGAAAAGGACCAGCCCCAATTGAACATTTTCGACCGTTTGGTACAGAATGCTATGTGCATATCCCAAAACAGAAACGGAAGAAATGGTCAGCAAAATCAGTTCCAGGAAAATTGGTTGGGTATTGCGATGAACGAGATGGATTTCGAGTCTACAACGGTCACACAATAGTGGTCAGTAGAGATGTTGTCTTTAAACCTTATCAGAAAGGAGAGGTTGTCAGAGCAGAGGGCATCACAGAAGATTGGGCTAAGACTGTTCCTGATGAAGACAAAGAACTTGACAAAACCTTATCCATTCCTATTCTATGCGAAGACAAGAGTCAGCCAATCAATTTTCAAGAGGAAAATGAAGAAGCTGAACCTGATGAAATTGAATATTGTGAACAACCGGAAGAGGAAGATCGACCAGGAAGGAAAAGGCAACCACCTAGTTATCTTCAAGATTATGTTCTTGTAGCTGAAGCTGGACCAACATATAATGAGGCCGTTAGTAGTGAAGAGTGGTTTCATTGGCAGGCAGCTATGAATGATGAGATGGCATCTCTTCAGAAACACCAAGTTTACAAGCTCGTACCGTTACCCAAGAACAAGAAAGCAATTGGAGTAAGATGGGTTCTTACAAAGAAGAAAAATCCAGATCGATACAAAGCTAGGCTTGTTGCAAAGGGCTACGCTCAGAAAGAAGGAGTAGATTATTTTAGCACCTACAGTCCTGTAGCAAGATTTGATACTCTAAGGACAGTATTAAATATAGCAGCACAGGAAAGCATGTTTTTGAAACAATTTGATGTAAAAACAGCATTTTTACATTCAAAGCTAGATGAAGAGGTTTATGTCGAGCAACCTGAAGGTTATAACGACAACTCCGGAAGAGTGTGGAAACTACAGCGTAGTTTATACGGCCTTAAGCAAAGTCCTAAGTGTTGGAATAAAAGACTTTCTGAGTTCATGAAATCTCAAAATTTCAAACCGAGTACAGCAGATCCTTGTTTGTTCCTTCGTGAAGGAAATGGTGAAAAGATGTTTGTCATAATTTATGTGGACGATGGACTCATATGTGGTACTTGTGAAAAACAAGTGAATGTATTTGTGCAGAACTTGAAACAAAACTTTGAAATCAAAGTATCAAAACCTGAAACTTACATTGGAATCGAGATTGTTCAAACAAGTGATGGAATAGTTCTCAGCCAGAGGGCATACTTAGATCAAGTTCTAGAAAGGTATCGGATGTCGAACTGTAACGCAGTGTCAACACCATTTGACAAATCCGATGTCAACACAAATGCAAAGCCTCTATCAACAGAAGTGCCGTATCGTGAAGCTGTGGGCAGTTTGCTATATTTGACAAACACTCGCCCAGACATCTGCTATGCAGTTAGTATGGTGGCACAGCATGTGACTAGTCCAACCATCAAAGACTGGAACCAAGTCAAGAGAATCCTTCGTTACCTGCAAGGTTCTAAGGACTACGTTATACGCTACACGAAGCAGAGCGATGAACCGAAGATTCTGAAATGTTACACCGATGCAGACTTCGCAGGTGATGAAAACAGCAGAAAGTCACGTTCAGGATGTCTATGTTTGTTTGCTGGCGGAGCCATTAGTTGGTTTTCAAAGAAACAAAATTGTATTTCACTATCAACTACTGAAGCGGAATATGTTGCTGCTAGTGAAGCTGCTAAGCAAGTAATATGGCTTAAAGGCTTGTTAGAAGAAATCAGCAGTTCATCGATCGAAGCAACTATGTACATTGACAATGCTGGTGCAGTACAATTAGCACACAATCCTTCAACGCATGGAAGAACGAAGCACATCAGTGTTCGGTTCCACTTTGTTAGAGAGCACTTCAACAACGGATGTTACAAAATGGAACATGTTCCTGGAAGACTTCAGTTGGCAGACTTCTTGACAAAGAGTTTACCTTCTAGTCGACTGAAGGAACTTTTGAACCTCTCAGGTTTGAGGGCAAATTAAAAAGATTTTTGAAACCTGAGAGCCTGTGAGTTGAGTTGGTATTAATATTCTTTAAAAACATGTGTTGTTTATTATTAAAGAATAACAATTGATTCTCATTCTACTCATAACATGGGCTTTGTTAAATAAAATAATACTAATTTCTTTATCCAACATGTATTGTTTTTATTTGTCGTGATATGTATATGTAGTAAAAATAATCATTTTTTTTACAAAATTTTTGACAGTTACCCGTCTCCCCATCCCGCTCGTGGCTCGTGGGCCGTGCCGTGATTCATGAATACCCATTCCCATAATCCCATGCCCATTCCCGCCGTTTCTGGATTCCCGCTCTAGCTACCGCAAGTCGAAACGCATTGAAACACAGACAATTAATTAATAAACGCAACGACTAGACTATCGCATAACATCGAGCATCGTTTCGTTCCATGGCCGACGTTCGTTTTCGTTCCACGACGTTTCGAGATTATTACGCTCCTTTCACACTATACGTTTTCGCTCGTACGAGTGTTAATCGTGCGGGCAGACGGTCGTTGGTCTGTTGCTTTCACACTATACGATTTGTAATCGTACGAGTAATAAATCAAAACCCCCCACTCCACCAGTACAGAGTTCATTGATACTTCTGTGGAAAGTTTTGTGGAGTATGGATTGGGAGCAAATTATTGCTGCGCTAATTATTTACAGACGCAGGAAAAAGAAATAAACGCGGCCGTCTGCACTGGGTACACCCCATAAATGTAAAACGTGAGGAAGTGGGTGTGTTTAATACATTATTCGAAGATTTGAGGAACGATGAAGCCAAGTTTTTTTTAACTATTTTCGTATGTCGTCGACGAATTGCAAAATCTGGATTCAATGCGAAGCACACTTCTTCCCAGGCTTTTCTTGTAGCAATTCTATCTTTGTAAACGTCTAATGTTTTGTCCCATAAAACAACTTTTGATTCAACAAGTGAAATTAAAACTTCAGGGTCTATTGCATCCATTTGAACTATATTAAGACAACTGAAACTAATTACAACAACTGAATAATACTATACAGTGCGCACAGGTAATTAAACTCAATAACCAATCAATTAAACTGAAAAAAGAAATAAAAACTATATAGCAAAAACGCTGCGAATTGCACTCGGGGAGGGCTCCCGCACGACTAACAACCGTGTAATGTGAAAAGGGCCATATGGTCACATGGTTCACTAGCAGTAGACACGACTATTACTCGTGCGGGAGTCGGATACCAACCGTGTGCACCTACGGTCGCTACGCGGGTGAAAATCGTACACGGTTTGTAATCGTATAATGTGAAAGGGGCCATAAGCTCCAATGCAATACAACAAATACGACTAATAACCGCACGAGCGAAAACGTATAGTGTGAAAGGAGTGTTACTCTGGTATTCGGAGTTCTTGTGGGAAGAAATAAAACTTCATCGTCCTTTACCGATACTAGCTGACACCCGGGCTTCAACCCGATTGACTTCATAAGTAGATTAATTGGTTAAGCTAAATTGTTTTTTAACGTAGTTTTATTTACAATCTGTTTTGCATTAAACAATAAAATAAAAATTGGAATGCATGAGTTAGCAGCTAAACAGCTTTAGCACTAAAAAAAAACAAAGAAAATAAATTTCAGAGCTGCTGTACAAATCGAATCGGAAGGTCTAAAACATTTTCTCTTTTTAGTCTGTAGACATGTTGACTGTTGTCTAGGAGGTTGAGGGCCAAATGGTTCGGATGATACTCAAGCTTTGAGATGTATTTTTTACTGCAGCTCGTAACTTCTTCAACAAATGGAATTTTGCAATCATTGTGACTGGTGGATACATACCAAGGGGCTTTCAGGATGGTTCTTAGTAATTTTGACTGAAATCTTTGTAATATATCCAAGTTTGATTTTGAAGCTGTTCCCCACAAAGAAATGCCATATGTCCAAATTGGTTTGAGGACAACCTTGTAAAGCAATAGTTTATTTTCTATTGACAGTTTTGAATTTTTATTCATGAGCCAGGCCATTTGTCGAAACTTTGAATTTAGATGTTGCCATTTGTTCCAAATATGGCTTCGCCAGGTAAGTTTTCTGTCGAGGTGGATGCACAAATATTTTACTTCATTGTGGTGAGGCAGAAGTACTGTTTAAGTGGACTGGGGGACAGTTAACTGTTCTGGTGGTGAATGTTACATTTGTGCAGACTTGGGTTAAGCTAAAATAAACCAAACAGAATACAGTGTAATTAATTCAAACAAATAATTACACCTGATTGTAATAAGGCAATGAATTGAAAGAATACCATACAAATAAGTACAGCTGAGGTATTTTTAACATTAGGTATATGGAAAGTAATTACGACCTTAAAGGGCAATTTATGAAATAACTATCAGAGTACCCACGAATACTAGAAAAGACCAGAGTACCCGTCCTTTGTACGGGATTGGCATATAAATATAAATGCTCATCGCAGTTGTACTCAAGCTTTGTGTTTGCAATGGGGGGAGGCACAGTTTGATCAAATTTGCTTCTTTAAATTTACAGGATATAATAGTATTATACCCATCTACCATAGCCATAATGTTCTGCTACTTCACCTAAACAATTAATAGAGAAAAATAAACAATTAAATTCGCAAAATATCACAAATTAATCAAGAAATTAAAAACATAAACATAACTGTAAACAATCCTAATTTGACAGTTCTCATTGCGTATCACAGTTTTGTGTTGCTGCTTAGTTCAAATTAGCTGTTTTCATAAATGCAAAAAAAAAATAATAGTAATGCACCCTGTTGGTAAATCTTATAACTTTTATGTTTTTGCAGATCATAGAACCAACTTATTTAGTTGAAACAGCTGAATAAATTCTTTAATTCATGAATACTCATAAGGTTAATGGGGAACTACAGAGCCACTGGGGTGGAGCCCGAAAGGATTTTTGAGATAAGAATATGTCTATATGTTGGGAATATGAACTATCATCATGCAAAATTTCAGCCCAATCCGTCCAGTAGTTAATGAGTTAATGCGTGATTGAACTTCACACAAACACAAACTTTCAAATTTATAATATTAGTAATTTACAAAGTTAAAATTTCAACTGAAGGTAATAATCAAGCTGTAAAATTACAATTTGACATTTTAAAGTATGTTGGTCAGCAGCACCTAGACCTTTGAAAACACACTATATAAAATAATTAAAAGTCAGGAAGGAGAAGCTCTAAATTACCTTTTTATACAGGTACCATTTGTCTATGCACTAGATAATAAGCTTTAAAATGACACATCAATTGTATAAATATTTTAATTATATTGAATTTTATTCTCCTGATCACATTTAAATACTAAATAAGGGTGTAAATACCTGCATTTATGTGATAACAAATAAATACATTTAACACGCACACTTACACGAACATAGAAACGAACATTTAGGGTTAAAAACGAAGGATAATACTATAACCCCTGCCCGATCACGTCGTGTCCCGTTACCGTTGTAGTATTATCCTTCGTTTTTAACCCTAAATGTTCGTTTCTATGTCCGTGTAAGTGTGCGTGTTAAATGTATTTATTTATTATGAATTGACGACCTTCGAATGAAGCAAGAAGACATCTGTACTGGACCGACGATGACTCCTTTGTGAGTCAAAACCGGTTGCAATTTAGCAACACATTGATCACATAAATGCAGGTATTTACAGCATTATTTAGTATTTAAGTGGGAAGGGTAAAAGTGGGATGTTAAGAGAAATCTGTTTTTTTATTTAAAAAAAATAGGGGTTAGAAAAATATATTCAGGGAAATAACACCCAATTTAATAAATAAACAGAAGTATATTTTTTCATACAAAAACACATAAAAAAAAAATAGTGAGCAAAAGTTTTGTTTGTTGTTTGTAAAAATAATTTGCGCTACCAGCTTTATAAGCGACACGTTTAAAAGAGACTGAATATTGTTTCAGAAGGCTGAAATAACTTCAATTTTCTAACCCATGGCAAGGCCACAGCAGACAATGCAGAATCTGATGCCCAATAAAACCAGTAAATTAAAATATTTTTTTAAATAATTGCCATAACATTTTTTCATTGATAAAATGTATTAGTATTTTATAACACAGCAGGGAATCAACTGAATCAAAGTAAAGTAGTACTTTTTAATAAAACCTGAAAAAGCGAACAAGCGAGAAAAAGAATAAACAAGTAGCACTATAATTGAATAAACCACTAAAATCACTGTTTCTGTTGAACTAGTTTGATACCGTTATTAAACAATATTTAAGCGTAGTCTGTAGTCTTAAATTTAACGGTTATTTGAACACATTACGTTCAATAAATCAAATTAATTCATGTTAAACAGATAATATCATGATATTAAACAGACGGAGAGTGTAAACGTACAGCAGAAGTACATATGTTCACGTGTCAGCTGCTACTGGCCGCTGAGCTCCCATGATTTGAATTTTGCTTTCCATCACATCCATAAGAACTAAAACAAATAAGAAAAATGATTCAATTGAAAAAATATAATACTACCTACAGTTACTTAATCCTGCAAACTCGTACGTTTACCTTATTCCCTCGCAAGGGCGGTCCTAGACCTATATTTTTGGGGGGTCACAGGTGGGTCTGGGGGGTATGGAAAATATTGTGCATTTTGAAACATACAAAATTAAATTGACCTAGCTTAATGTGTACAAGCTTCCCAGTTTGTTTCAAGTTTCAAGATTTGTTTACAAATTAAACATGTAATGTGAAGTTTTTGCATTATTGAGACTTGTGGAATCTCATCAACACGAGGTTTTAACAACAAAGGAATACCACAAATATACAAAACATTGGGTTTGAAATGTTAAAACCATAGAATTGTTTTTTTTTACTCTCGCATCATGGTTCTACCTATTCCCCAAGCATTATTGATTTGCGAAAATACCCTTTCAACCAAAATGTATTCCAAAATCAGACTAAGACTTTGAACCAGAACTTATATTTATTGAAGAAGTGTTTGAGAACTTGCACCCATGCAGAGGGACCTTTAAAGGCCTCTGGGGCAGAGCCCCAAGGGAATTTACCTCATTTCTCTTTTGAAGGCTCATCTACAGACCAAGACCTTTCTTTAGAGACCCCAACCAAGTTTCTACGCCCAGCCGTTCTCTCAAATTAGCTGTGACAAAAACCCCGTTTTCCTCCATAAGAATAACATGGGATGGAAATTTAAAGGCCACTGGGGCAGAGCCCCAAGGGAATTCACCATGTTTCTCTTTTGATGGCTCATCTACAGACCAACACCTTTCTTTAAACACACCTACTGAGTTTCTACGCCCAGCCGTTCTCTCAAATTAGCTGTCACAAAGAAAAACAGTTTCAAATTAATATATAGATAATTAATTATTGTTATAAATTTACTAAGTTAATTTTGTAATATACACTGAGAATTTCAGTTAATCATTAAGTAACTATCGACAAATATAACACGAAAAACGTAATGTTAAAAACTGCTACAGTAGGCCTATGAAAACCATTTTCTACCACAAATTTTGTTTCAAAGTACTACATTTATGTTAATTCTGGAAAATACATGAGTTTTGATTGTAATAATTATTGGGTTTTTACTGGTTTACAGTTAAACAGTTTAAGTAACTATCGGCAAATATAACGTGGAAATCGTAAGGTTCGGCTGTTCAAAACTGCTTCAGGAGGCCTAGCTTTGTAGTACAAGTTTATTCTACTAAATTTTGATCTCATTATTGTTAATTTTTATTTTTAACCTTAATTTGCAGTGTTTGTCGAGTGAATATTAAGAGTTAATTTGCCTTAAGGGCTAATAAACGTATATAGGTTTTTAATTATATACCAATATCTGTTATTTAAATTTGTTTTTACAACTTTTATTGGGCTTTTTTTTAGTAGCCTATATTAGTCGCCGGCAATTTTTTACTTTTTAGCCGCGAAAAATGTGTGATTTTGTTAATGGATTCTGCTGACAACCCTGAATAATTGTTAAGTTTGTTACAATTACTTGATAAAAGAAAATTAACACTTAGTAAGAAATACAACTTTGTGAAAGTGATTGCTTATGGTGAAAACTTATACGTACCTTCTTTGATTTTACTCTTTTCAACTCCAATAGCCTGTATCTTCTCCATCTGTTCAGTGACAAAAGCAACTTTTCTCTTGAAGTAGTCTTTGGCAGCTTCCACATCCTGAAAAATAATTTATAGTATGAGTTTTCACATTTTAAAATAGCTGAGTGACTGATTTTTTCGGGGACAAGAGTTCAGCTAGCATTCCTGAGAAAATCAATACAGTGTAACCTTGATTCAATTAATTCTTGGTTTGGTCCCATGAGATTTATTATTATTTCGCTATAAGCCTGCCTTCTCACACACTCGTCTGTCACTAGATCTGTAAAATCGGTGATCGATTTTGATTGGACACTCATGATCAGATCCAATAGGCAAGATCGAGTAAATAGATTTTAATATACAGGAAAATAAAAATACAAGTTTAATATATAAATCACCCAAATTTATTAAAATAAATTAATTTTTACTAATAATTCAACAAATAACAAAATAAATTAATTAATTCACTGTTCGTTAGTCTCAAGTCAACGACAAATGACAAATTAATGTTTTAGTCAGCTTACATCACAATAGTAACCGTTAAATATTACGTGACAAAATATTTTGTGATCTTCGATTGTTTTATCACTCTGATAACTGGAAAGAACTGGTCCCGGTCATTGACCGGCGTACGTGTCAAAACAAAATATCGATCGCTAATGTTTAGACGTTTAGCCTCAGCCCGTGTCGAACTATTGAAGGTTTACTATATATCAATTAATAAAAATCTTCAAAAGATGGGAGGGATTTTCTGGCCGGTGTTAGTTTTACTCGTATTTTTATAAATCATCTCTACAGTCAAGCTATTGATATCTTCTTCCAAGATTTTGCAGAATGATTGTGAATTTTAGATTACAGTAATCGGAGATGTCAGTTTCTGTGATTGTGACAGCTAGCCTAGTAACTGTCCCAATTCCAGACTGTGTCGCAAAATGTGACCATAATTTTTTTATGAAATTTCCCTTTAGCAGCAAAGCTACAAACAAAGCTATTTATTGTATATTTATTGAGTTGCTGTTAAAAATTTATTAATCATGGAAATGTGCATGTATATACAGTATTAAAAACATTGGATGAGTAAATGTGTAAAATGAAACACCTTAGATAGATTTATAATACACCAACTGAGTTAAAACAGAAAAGCCATCTTATGGAGATTTCAAAATAAACAGACATACTCACTTTTTCAATGTAGTACCCAGTACCAATATCAATAATAACTTTTTCAGAATCTGCAATTTTTCCAGGAACATACATCTGAATAAACAATTAAAGAAAATGTCTCAATCATTGAATAATTCAGGCTTTATTGACATATATATATATATATATATGAAATAATTTAATTCAAAGTCACCTGGCCTGTTAGAAATAATGAAAATTTGTAGTACAAGATACAAAATTTGATTATAGTCCAGTCAAATGGGTTTTAAAAAGGGCTTGAAGTAGAAAGTTTATACGTAGACCTAATTTTATTTTTTAAGGCTTACTTTAGAGGCGAGGCGAGGCGCTAATCATAAATCTGAAGTTGTGCACAAAATTTACTTTGGCAAATATGAGGGAAAAAATGTTAAAAATCAATATATGCCAAGCAAACTAAAAAAAAAAACAGACACAGGGACCGTTTGAAAAAATTCAAGAAAACATTTTATGGCTTTATTTTATAGTTGTGCAGAGTGACATAGTAAAAGTTTGCCAAAATCAGTGCACGGGAAACCCCACTAGATGTGGCTGATGGGAAGACAATTTTACAAACTAAACCGATTTAATCCATATATTTAACTAGCTGGCCCGACCGACGTCGTCCTGTCCTAATGTGGTTTTATGTCAAATGCTCGTTCATTTTCAAGATGAGCTCGTTCGCTGCGCTCACTTGCCTTCAGTTACATTTGACAACAAATATTTGTAAAAAACAAATGGAATAGAAACCTATTTTATAGCTCTCATTTGTTATGCATGGATTTGTTTTTAAAAATTAGGTTATCATTACAACAGCTGTTTCCTTAATTAATTTAATCAAGAAATGACAAACATGGCATGGTAAACAAAATAAAACATTCTTCCATAAGATTAAATGCTGCAAAGGGCCATAGGACGCTTCCCTCCACAAACTGCTGTAGGCTACTACTCAAGGACAAAGGCAACAAAAAGGTAACTGTAACTACTTTCATATGCTGCGACAGCTTAAAAAAGATTGGTAAGGATACAGATCCTGTTAGTGGAACCATGATGTCCTTTCCTTTGCTCTCCGGTGTAATTTTGTCTAAACTTTCCTTAGACTCCAGAAATTTTGTCTGGGCAATTTTCAAACTGTGGACTGAATCTTGAAATACCATCAACTCCTGTAAAGCAAACACACATTGGTCAATTTTATGACAACAAAATATGACACAGCCAAGGAATGAATTAAGTGCTTTGGGTAGACCTAGGTTCTTTAGATGTCTTACAATAAACTATTGATTGTTTAAGTATAATATTTTTGGCATTTGATACTTTAACACAGGTTATTGTAATTAGGCTTAGTATGTGCATAATTACAATCCATAAAATATAATTCGTACACCCACTGTGGGACCAAGTTAGGTTAGTTATAATAGCTATCATAGTTGCATCTGATATTAGGCCTATTTTAACTTCTGTTCAAATTACAATTCTTTAAAGTCATCATATTCGTTTAAATAACGCATATAATACTTCGCAATTGCTCGAATTCGAGTAACAGGTACACTACCTAGTGAAAATTAAAAGCAAATATTTTAGCGATAACTTAGTAAAGAATTGGCTGGCAAATCAAAAATTCTAGCAAATCTAAATTTCTTAAACTTACAATATAGGCTACTTAATATGTTTTTAGAAACTGTCAGACATTATTAAGTTTTAAAAAATTCCAAAGTGCTGACAGTTCTCTTATCAGGCTACCTAAAATAGTAAAAACCCTTAAAACACATAAAATTAATTCTAAATTTAAAATAATTGAGGTGACAACCCCCCCCCCCCCCCTAACAGATACGTTCCGCTTAGTGTTAGGACATCGAACCAGTAACATCGTTATTAGTATCGATAGGCTAGTGATACTGTCGTGTGCGTTAAAGTGTCCTCCATCTGTTGACATTATTGGTATTAAGGTACGCGGCCGCATTACTCCGCAAAACGGCCAGCAATAGATTTTATCAGGCGCGCGCACTACTTATTGATGAGTTACCGTATTGCCAGGTTCACACAAGTCGGGAACCCTAGTTATTAATGAACCGAGTTGTTGATTTTAGAATGTTATTCCAGACTGCAGACTGTTATTAAATATGTTAATTTCAAGAATGCAAGCACTCTTTAAAGTTAAAGTATGTAGGCCTAGTCTTAAAACAAGACAAGCAGACATAACCATTGAGCATTGAAATGTGCTCTAAAACCATTAGTTAATAAACATGACAAGAGACTAACTTAAACTTGTGTGAACCTGGCAATAACTCCAGCCATAAGTAGTGCGCGCGCCCGAAAAATCTATTGCTGGCCGATTTGCGGCAAAATACGGCCGCGTAACATAATACCGATGATGTCACCAGATAGAGGACACTTTAACGGACACGACAGTATCAATATCATGTACCTGGCGGATAAGAAAAAGGGGGTAAAGTCAGCAATAAGTAGTGGGCTTGCCCGAAAAAATCTATTGCCGGCCGTTTTGCGGAAAAATACGACCGCGTAACATGAAACCGATAATGTCACCAGATAGAGGACAATTTAACGGACACGACAGTATTAATATCATGTACCTGGCGGATAAGAAAGAGGGGGTAAAATCAGCAATAAGTAGTGCGCGCGCCCTCAAAAATCTATTAATGACCGATTTGCAGCCAAATACGGCCGCGTATCATAATACCGATGATGTCACCAGATAGAGGACACTTTAACGGACACGACAGTATCAATATCATGTACCTAACGGATAAGAAAGAGGGGGTAAAATCAGCAATAAGTAGTGCGCGCGCCCTAAAAAATCTATTGCTGGCCGAATTGCGGCAAAATACGGCCGCGTAACATAATACCGATGATGTCACCAGATAGAGGACACTTTAACGGACACGACAGTATCAATATCATGTACCTAACGGATAAGAAAGAGGGGGTAAAATCAGCAATAAGTAGTGCGCGCGCCCTAAAAAATCTATTGCTGGCCGAATTGCGGCAAAATACGGCCGCGTAACATAATACCGATGATGTCACCAGATAGAGGACACTTTAACGGACACGACAGTATCAGTATGATGTACCTGGGGAATAAGGAAGGGGGGGTAAAGTCAGCAATAAGTAGTGCGCGCGCCCTAAAAAATCTATTGCTGGCCGAATTGCGGCATAATACGGCCGCGTAACATAATACCGATGATGTCACCAGATAGAGGACACTTTAACGGACACGACAGTATCAATATCATGTACCTAACGGATAAGAAAGAGGGGGTAAAATCAGCAATAAGTAGTGCGCTCGCCCTAAAAAATCTATTGCTGGCCGATTTGCGGCAAAATACGGCCGCGTAACATAATACCCATGATGTCACCAGATAGAGGACACTTTAAAGGACACGTCAGTATGAATATCATGTACCTGGGGGATAAGAAAGGGGGGTAAAGTCAGCAATAAGTAGTGGGCTTGCCCGAAAAAAAACTATTGCCAGCCGTTTTGCGGCAAAATACGACCGCGTAACATGAAACCGATAATGTCACCAGATAGAGGACACTTTAACGGACACGACAGTATAAATATCATGTACCTGGGGGATAAGAAAGAGGGAGTAAAGTCAGCAATAAGTAGTGGGCTTGCCCGAAAAAACCTATTGCCGGCCGTTTTGCGGCAAAATACGACCGCGTAACATAATACCGATGATGTCACCAGATAGAGGACACTTTAAAGGACACGTCAGTATGAATATCATGTACCTGGGGGATAAGAAAGGGGGGTAAAGTCAGCAATAAGTAGTGGGCTTGCCCGAAAAAAACCTATTGCCGGCCGTTTTGCGGCAAAATACGACCGCGTTTTATGAAACCGATAATGTCACCAGATAGAGGACACTTTAACGGACACGACAGTATAAATATCATGTACCTGGGGGATAAGAAAGGGGGAGTAAAGTCAGCAGAAAGTAGTGCGCGCGCCCGAAAAAATCTGCGCGACCTGAGTGGCTGCGCATAATAGGATTATAGGCCTAATACTTTATGGTAAAAGTTGGTGATACAAAAGGATCGTCAACCAGTCTAGTCGTAAGTTGTCAGTTTTCACGGCTTTGAATCCTCTATCTGGTGACATAATCGGTATTATGATACGCGGCCGTATTTTGCCGCAAATCGGCAAGCAATAGATTTTTGAGGGCGCGCGCACTACTTATGGCTGACTTTACCCACCCTTTCTTATCCCCCAGGTACATGTTATTGATACTGTCGTGTCCGTTAGAGTGTCCTCTATCTGGTGACATAATCGGTATTATGATACGCGGCCGTATTTTGCCGCAAATCAGCCAGCAGTAGATTTTTTGAGGGCGCGTGCACTACTTATGGCTGACTTTACCCCCCCTTTCTTATCCCCCAGGTACATGATATTTATACTGTAGTGTCTGTTAAAGTGTCCTCTATCTGGTGACATTATTGGTTTCATGTTAAACGCGGTCGTATTTTGCCGCAAAACGGCCAGCAATAGATTTTTGAGGGCGCGCGCACTACTTATTGTTGATTTTACCCCCTCTTTCTTATCCGCCAGGTACATGATATTGATACTGTCGTGTCCGTTAGAGTGTCCTCTATCTGGTGACATCATCGGTATTATGTTACGCGGCCGTATTTTGCCGCAAATCGGCCAGCAGTAGATTTTTCGGGCGCGCCCTCTACTTATTGCTGACTTTACCCCCCCTTCCTTATCCCCCAGGTACATGATATTGATATTGTCGTGTCCGTTAAAGTGTCCTCTATCTGGTGACATCATCGGTATTATGTTACGCGGCCGTATTTTGCCGCAATTCGGCCAGCAATAGATTTTTTCGGGCGCGCGCACTACTTCTGGCTGACTTTATCCCCCCTTTCTTATCCCCCAGGTACATGATATTGATACTGTCGTGTCCGTTAAAGTCTCCTCTATCTGATGACATTATCAGTTTCATGTTACGCGGTCGTATTTTGCCAAATAACGGCCGGCAATAGATTTTTTTGGGCGCGCGCACTACTTATGGCTGACTTTTACCCCCCCTTTCTTATCCCCCAGGTACATGTTATTGATACTGTCGTGTCCTTTAAAGTCTCCTCTATCTGGTGACATCATCGGTAATATGTTACGCGGCCGTATTTTGCCGCAAATCGGCCATCAATAGATTTTTTCGGGCGCGCGCACTACTTTTGGCTGACTTTACCCTCCCTTTCTTATCCCCCAGGTACATGATATTGATACTGTCGTTTCCGTTAAAGTGTCCTCTATCTGGTGACACTATCGGTTTCATTTTACGCGGTCGTATTTTGCCGCAAATCGGCCAGCAATAGATTTTTTCGGGCGCACGCACTACTTATGGCTGGAGTTATTGCCAGGTTCACACCAATTAACTTAATAGGGTAAAAATGAAATTGCCTCAAGTTGATGCTTATGGACGTTAAATCTATTAGGGAGTGGGTCATGTTAAAAAGTTTAATTTAGTGTAGGGCCTAGACCTAGTTTGTGTACCTTAAAACAAAACACATGTATTATGAAAAGTCCTAAGAGTAGGCCTATGCCTAGGTAGATAACCTACAAAATACATACATTGTCGACCTGGTTCTTCAATTGAGCCAGTTGCTGAATGTTGAGTTTACTCAGATCAATGGTTTGGAGTTCTCCCTTACTTTCAGTGGCAGCCATAGTAGTGAAATTATTTAAAATTAAAAATAAGATTTCTTAACTTTGTGTTGTAAATAATTACGATGTAAATACTGGAAACTGGAACTGAACTGAAACCTGGCCTGAGGAGACTGAACAGAGTGGCAGTGGACTGAACTTCTTGTTCTTCATCTTCTATTCCAGATTCCTTACAAAAAACTGGTTTGATTAAATTACCATGTAGCCACACTATTTCACATTCAACACGTCTGTTCTATACATTTTCCCCGGGCATTTTAGAAATGCTACTTAAGGTATGGTATGGTTTTTGTTTTTCTAATGAACTGAGTTTAGTTTATAGCTTATAAGCTGTTGTGGTTATATGTTTTCCGGTTTGAATGACTTGTTTATTTATTTAAGTTCAAGTTTCATCTCTTAAAGTTGGATTTTTCTTTTAAAAATTTAATGAAGTTTAATGGTGGCCATAGCTTGCTATTTTTTTCCATTAGGAGCGTGTGCGTGTGGACAGTTGGTGGTGATTTCCAATAAGCTTTTTTTTATTTGTGTGTAAAGGTATTGGTATCCTATCATGTAGGCTGGGCCCTCTATAATGTGCTCTATATTGTTTCACGTTGTCTTAGTTTACATTTGATGCAATAAGGCGATTCCCTCTTCTTCATTTGAAATGGCCTTTTTGTAGCATTGTTGTAGGTGACCAAATCTAAGTTTGCATACTAGAGAAGATAGGGTCAGAACAACGACAAAACCGCGGTTTTTGGGTACTTTGGCTGTATAGTTCTGTACCATTGTCCTTTACTATTATTGAATTCTCTTGATGCTTGTATATTTTGTATTTCTGTTTAATATTAGCCCTTAACACATTGCGTGCGGGTCAGTCGCCGGCGACTGATTCCTTATCATTGAGATAAGTGGAATTTTCAAGAGTAAACATGACGGCCGCATTGAAAGAGTTAAGTCTGATAGGGGTCTAAGGAAATCATTGTCTATATCTTGACACAGAAAACATACTACTATAACCCAGAATGCCAACCGCATGGTAAAAAGCATTAAGTGTTTTGAGAGCTTTGCCTGTCAATTCGTAGGCAGCGCCACCAGCGTTGCTATGCTGAGAGAATTTTAGGGTACGTTACCTCAACTAGATTTGGGACGTTTTCAAACTGGCCAGCAACAAAAAATAAGGTATGAAATAAAATTTTAGACACTAGCGCATTCTGTGGCTGGCTCACACAAACTGCGTTCATTTTAATAAAAATTTGGCGACAGCTGGTCCATATATGGATGGGATGTCTACTTCTGTATCCAATAGTCAATGATATTACCATTGGCTATTTAACTACTCAATTAAAATGTGTTTGTATATGTAAAAAAAAAAAACTGAGTTAACTTATAGAAAACCTATACGAAAACTTGCAAATTACATAAAACCATAGATAAAACGTAGTAGATTTCTCATTCTTATGGAACAGCTGAAGCCACCAATGTTATTGTTAGTTCTGTCTAGTGCACTGTAGAGGACGTGGTTTGTTTTCAATTTGTTTCTTGTTATTTAAGTAATTTAAAATCTTGTTTAACCAAATAAAACGCGTCCCCTAGTTACACAACCAAATAGTAAAACACAAACCATTAAATTAACCCTAAAATAATAGAAACAAAATTTTGTCGACACTAGCGAGCAGTGTTACCGGACATAAACTAGACACGAAAAACAAGCTTCAAAATTTACAATGGGATGAGAAGTCTAAGGTCTCATTTGCGTTGGTTAGTCTATGATAAAACCATGCTAAAAACACAAGCAAAAGATGCTTTTCTATGTTTAAATTTTATTGTTATAAAGTAAAAACAGCTGATTTAAACAATGAAAATAAAATGTAATGAAACACTAGCTCGTGGTAGGCAAATGGGGAACTGATTGAAAGCAAGGGAAGGTAAATTTAGAGCAAGGGAAAATCAGCTGATAATTTTTCCTTGGCTTGGGAAACAAGTTAGAGCTTGCTTGGTAAATAATTATTTTCTTTGATATCAGCTGTTATCAAAAAATAAAAATAGCTACTTTCTCCATTGAGAGAAGACAATAGTTATTTGTGCAACTAGTGAGAAAAGTGAACAATTGACTCACTCGAGAGAAATCCTTACTCACGAGCCGTAGGCGAGTGAGGAATGGTTTCTCGAGTGAGGCAATTGTACTTTGAACTCGAGTTGCACATTATACTTTTCCTACAGTTACCATAAAACAAATAAATTTGTGAAGAAACATAACCTATTTTTACACAGAAGTGAACTTTTAATATAACATTTAATGTGAAGTGACAAATACAACAGTACAACAGCTGACCAGCTGATTTACAGCCAGTGCTGCCAACGTATTTCGCGCGCATACGACGTTGCCTGCATGTTACGTGCTCACTATTTCGTGCCTTCACGTTGCAAATCTGGAGTGAGACAAAGTAATTAGAGTGAGACAATGTTAACATTGTCTCACTGATGAGCGAATTAGCCACTTTGCTTTCTCAAATCAGTGAGAGAACATGTACATTGTTAGGTAACTGTAGGAAAACATTTATTTTGCGCTTGATAAAATGTATGCTATGCATTGGGTGGTATCAGATTTTCATTTTATAAAATGAACCATTCTTTATTTTTTTCAGGCAAAGCAAGGGCCACAACTGCTTACATATATATTATTTAATAGAAGTGTCAACAACTATTAAGTTGGTAGTCGTTGACTTCATCAAATGGGTAATAGAAATACTTTAACTAGAAAATATATCTTTTCTTGAAATCGGGATGAAATCATAACGGATGTACTTACTCTACTAGAGAAATTGGTCAATTATAGCCATATAAAAATTGACTAACAACTACTTTTGCTTACATTGGAATGATTGAATTGGTGTTTGCCACCAAATACAACCATTTCAAATATAATACCACTCTCGCTTATCGACAAAATAAAATATTGGATTTCTGCCGTTAACTCCTTAAATTCGGACATTCCCTAGCTACCAAGTGACAAGATGGATGTTTTGCCACCTGAATTACTAATGACTTGTCAAGTTTTTGGCTTTTTACCTGTAAAATATAAACCTGATCTCTTACCAGGCATTGACTTTTCTCTTACAGCTTTCTTATGGGGACTAGCTTTACTCATAGTTCACACTACAACATGTTCTTTTGCACTTTGTTTTGATTACCTTAGAAAACTCCAAGGTCGTCCTGTGAGGATGGTTTCTAACACAGACACTGTTGCAGTTTTCCTTGATGTAGCAACTCTTGTTGTACAAGGAGTTATATTTATCATCAGCACCACTAAAAACTACCAGCATTTGTCCGAAGTATACTGTAGTTTGCACAGATTTGATTCATTAATTCAACACAAATCCTTCAAAATAAATATAAAACCAAAAATATTTTCTATTTATATTTTGTTGACAATATTACTCATTCTCACAAACTACTTTTACTGTCGTTTGATAACTAATTTCATAATCTATTCACCTCTATACATTGCATATTATCTTCAATCAGCACAATTCATCCATTTCACATTTACCTGCCGTGTTATATCAGAGCGGTTCTTAGTTATAAATGACAAAATAAAACAGGAAGTTATTCGGCAGAGTTTTGGACAGTTTCTCAAAGATTTGGATTATGATTCTACACTATCAGGCAAAGTTACAGGTAAGTTGAAGATTGGTAAATTTGACTACCCTGCCTTGTTCAGAAAGAAATACCAATAGCTACCAGAGTATTTACCTATTAATGAGGTTTCACAGTTAATCGTTTAGTAACCTTCACTGCTTTAAGTAAGTTAGGTTATGTTTTAAATTTCAATTTTTTTAAACATTTGCTTTTTCAAGTGATAGCTAATTTAACATTTGAAATGAATTAATAAATTTAATTTGGGCATTTACGGGTCAAAGGAGTCTTTTAAAACATTGAGGATTTTAGGGTTAAAGGAAGTCTTTTAAAACATGATCAATGATTTATATTTATTATTTTTCCTGCAGCTGAAAGATATTCTTATGCTTTACTTTACTACAATAGTATATTTCATTACTAGGACCGAAAGTGGCATTTTCCGTCGCGCGCACAAGTTTTTGTGTGAGGCGAAGCCGAACACAGGGAACCCCAATTACACGTGCGAGGCGAAGCCGAGTATGTGAGAGCTATTTTCACGTACGAGGCGAAGCCGAGGACGGGAATAATGGAGCAAGTGCCGGATAATAACTTTCGGTACGAGTTATGAACGATACTTTTCATTACGACGCAAAAATACACAAACAAAGAATAGCAGACCTCAGTATATTAAAACAATTTGATTTCTCAATTAATTTGATTGAACATCAAAATAAAATAAAATCTTCTAAAAAGAAACCTACTTATATTTCTCAATAAATTTTGTTTAAACATCAAAATAAAAGAATAACACAACTTTTAAAAATACATACAGCTGATTAAAATCATTAAATTAAACCGTAACAAAACACTGGCGCGCGTAGTGAATAAATGGAGAACTAATTGAGAGCGAGGGAAAGTAAATTTAGAGCAAGGGAAAATCAGCTGATCGATTTTCCCTCGCCCTAAATTAGAGCTTGGGAAATGACTACTTTCATTGATGTCAGCTGTTATCGAAAATACTTACTTTCGTTAAGGAGTGATGAAAAAAAAATTACTCAATCAAGACATTTTTTTACCTTAGAAGAGAAATCAAAATCAAATAATTATTGTAAAAAAAACATATTTCTATTCTTTGTATTTTGATGCTAATCTATCTATATATTAATAGGCAAGCATGTTTCTTTAAAACCTTTTTTCTCAGCTCGTGTGCATCGCAGGGAGAATCTACGCATACTGTTGGAAAGCTATTTTCCTGTAGATGTGCAGAATGCCTTTAAAAATTAAAATAGGCTAACAAATAAGCACAAAAAATTAATTTGAAAACTTAAAAAATTTAACATGGACCATATGGGTTGCCATGATGGTGACGAAATAACAACAAAATGTGAACAGAAAATCAAAACAAATGGAAGAAATTCCAATCACATGTTTTATTTACAGTGTGGGGAGAAACTAGAGAAGTCTGTACATTAATTAATTTTGGTCGAGT